TTGTGGTGGTTGGTGGTGGAACAGCACATCTGTCTCTTCTACCACATTAATACTGCCCTTGAACTTTTGATGCCACCACCACCGTTATCTCTCTCTCTCTCTCTCTCTCCGTTATAATAACTATTGTCTTCTATTTCTTCTATTAGAATTATTTCTCGTTTTTCTTCCCTTCATTGTTTTCATTATTCGTGTCTGTTATTCTGTTTTTGTCTGTTTGTTTTATGTTTTGGGGTTTATTGGTCAACTGTGTCACACACACACACACACACACACACACACACACACACACACATCTTTGTACGTACCACCCGTTTAATCTTCTGAGCGATAGTTCTTATCTTGATGTCTCAAGCTGATAAGCACATATTAGAACACTGAATGTAACCTAAACTCTCTCCCCTCCTTCCCCTACCACCATGACCCGCCCTCTCCCCTCTCCCCTCTCCCCCTCCCACCATGTCCCCCCTCCCCCCTTGAACCTTTAAGGGAAATAAATTAAGAACATAAGAATGGAGGAAACTGCAGCGGGGCTATTGGCCCATACTGGGCAGTCCCGTTTACACCCAACCCCTATTGTTCATATAAGCATCCAACCTATGTTTGAAGCTATTCAGCGTATTCGAGTTAATGATGATGTTTGGTAACTTGTTCCATTCATCCACTACTCTGTTTCCAAACCAATGTTTACCTATTTCGCGCCTAAATCTAAATTTGTCTAATTTAAAACCATTGTTACGAGTTCGCTCCTGGTTGGATAGTTTGAGTACCTTTGTAATGTCCCCTTTGTTCAGCCCTGACTTCCATTTATACACCTCTATCAGGTCGCCCCTCGCTCTACGTCTCTCTAGGGAGTGCAAATTAAGATGCTTTAACCTGTCTCTATATTCAAGGTTCCTAATGCCCGGGATTAGTCTTGTCATTCTCCTCTGGATTCTTTCCAAGGATTCTATATCCATTCTGTAATACGGTGACCAGAATTGAACTGCGTAATCCAAGTGAGGTCTCACAAGCCCAAGATATAGTTTTAGGATGACCTCGCTAGTCTTGTAACTAACACTCCTTTGTATGAACCCAAGTACTTTATTAGCCTTGTTACGAGCAAAAACACATTGTTTACTTGGCTTAAGGTTCCTACTTATCATTACTCCTAAATCACTCTCGCAGTCGGATTTCTCAATGGCATCGTTGTTCATCTGGGTGGGTTCGGTTATATGTTGACTTAGGAAACAGTCCTGGATCGTTTCGAGAAAATCCTCTGATTCTGGGTTGTAACATTTGAACACTTACAGATGTACAGTGCTCAAATGTTCAAGTACCATCTCAAACTACCATACATTTGAACACATACAGAGGCACAGTGCTCAAATGTTCAAGTACCATCTCAAACTACCATGCATTTGAACACTTACAGAGGAACAGTTCTAAACAATCATTATTCTACAGGTTATATTTTCAAACTACAGTGAACTGGACTTTCACGCTGTGTTACCAACTCCATTTACCTGAACGAAAGGGGTGACTGTAACGAGTTAACCATTGCCTGTGTGCCGGGACCTTTGTAAACACCTGGAGAATTAGCTCAACATGACGAATTGTGTTGTGTCTTGTCTGTAAGTTAGTCGTTGTTTATGTTGCGTGAGAAGGAACACCCAACACTCATTTGTTGTGTTGTTATTTGCACTGTGTTGTGAAGTTATTTTTGTTATGTTGTGTTGCTGTGTTGTTAAATTACTTTTGTTGTGTTGTTATTAGCAGTGTGTTGTGTTGTCTTGATTTGCTGTGTTGTTTTGAGTTGTATGGCAATGCTCCTTTACACCATGCTGTTTCTGTATTTACTTTACTTATTTATACTCTCTCTCTCTCTCTCTCTCTCTCTCTCTCTCTCTCTCTTCTACAATAACCAAGTGTTATAACCCATCCCTTAATGTTCACTGTAATAGGCCTATAGATACCTTCAACACCTACCTAGTCATGTTCCATAGGCCTAAAATACCCTATTGACACCCTAGTCATGTTCACTAGGCCTTCAACACCTAGCTGGCCATGTTCCATAGGCCTAAAGTATCCTATCGACAACTGTTCCGTAATATGGCTGGCGTGGCGGACATATCTTGGCAGGTGGCAGGCATGTTAGGAACGCCACAGCGACCCAGTTTAAGATTCCCGAAGACTCCTTCAGTTGTATTGGGAGATGTGCCAGGTGTTTGGATAATGAATTGATGATGATTAGTGGGTTTACCTGTAGATTAGTGTGTGTGTGTGTGTGTGTGTGTGTGTGTGTGTGTAAACCTCCAGCAACAGTCACAATGGTCTGGGTGAATCGATCCCAAAGTTGACATTTGTCGCGGCAAACAGAGAGAGAGAGAGAGAGAGAGAGAGAGAGAGAGAGAGAGAGAGAGAGAGAGAGAGAGAGAGAGAGAGAGAGAGAGAGAGAGAGAGAGAGAGAGAGAGAGAGAGAGAGAGAGAGAGAGAGAGAGAGAGAGCCAGGGATAGAGAAAAAAAGAGAGCCAGAGAGAGAGAGAGAGAGAGAGTGGGAAAGTCATTAGTATGTCTTGGCAGTAGTAGAGGACGACCTTGGATCAATAATTCGGGCAATGCTTTTACTCTCACTAAATTGTTATAGGTGATGATGGTGATGATGGTGGTGGTGATGATGGTGATGGTGGTGATGATGGTGATGGTGGTGGTGTTGGTAACGTAACCCTGAATTAGAAACTTCGGATCGTTGTTGTGAGCAAAGTGAATCTATAGGAGAGACGTTGTTCAAAGATGATGCTCTCTCTCTCTCTCTCTCTCTCTCTGGTGGTGAGAGAGAGAGAGGTGGGTGAGTATGGCCAGGGCCACTGCGGCATTGCGGCGGAACTACTCCTGGCACCCTCCCTGGCCCTGTGTGTGTGAGAGAGAGAGAGATGGGTGTTGGAAGGTGTAGGAGTGTGTTGGAGGGTGTAAAAATGTGTTGCTGGGTGTAGGAGTGTGTTGCTGGGTGTTGTAGGGTGTAGGAGTGTGTTGCTGGGTGTTGTAGGGTGTAGGAATGTGTTGCTGGGTATTGGAGTGTGGTGCTGGGTGTTGGAGTGTGTTGGAAGGTGTAGGAGTGCGTTGCTGGGTGTTGGAGGGTGTAAGAGTGTGTTGCTGAGTGTTAGAGGGTGTAGGAGTGTGTTGCTGGGTGTTGGAGTGTTTTGGAAGGTGTAGGAGTGTGTTGCTGGGTGTTAGAGTGTGTTGGAGGGTGTAGGAGTGTGTTGTTGGGTGTTGGAGGGTATAGGAGTGTGTTACTGGGTGTTGGAGGGTGTAGGAATGTATGCAGGGTGTTGGAAGGTGTAGGGAGTGTGTTGCTGGGTATTGGAGGGTGTAGGAGTGTGTTGCTGGGTGTTGAAGGGTGTAGGAGTGTGTTGCTGGGTGTCAGTGTGCTGCTGGGTGTCGGAGTGTGTTGGAGGGTGGTGGAGTGTGTTGCAGGGGTGTTGGAAGGTGTAGGAGTGTGTTGCTGGCATTGGAGGGTGTAGGGAGTGTGTTGCTGGGTGTTGAAGGGTGTAGGAGTGTGCTGCTGTGTGTGGAGGATGTAGGAGGTGTTGTTGGGTATGTTGGGGAGTGTTGGAGGGTGTAGGAGTGTGTTGCTGAGTGTTGAGGGTGTAGGAGTGTGTTGCTCTGGTGTTGGAAGGTGTTGTACGGTGTAGGAGTGTGTTGCTGTGTGTTGGAGTGTGTTGCTGGGTGTTGGAGGGTGTAGGACTGTGTTGCTGGGTGGTGGAATGTGTTGCTCTGTGTTTGAGTGTATTGCTGGGTGTTGGAGTGTGTTTGAGGGTGTAGGAGTGTGTTGGAGGGTGTAGGAGAGTGTTGGTGTGTGTTGCTGGGTGTTGAAGGGTGTAGGAGTGTGTTGCTGGGTGTTGGAGTTGTTGAGGGAGTCTGTTGCTGGGTGTTGGAAGGGTGTAGGAGGTGTTGTTGGGTGTTCGAGGGTGTAGGAGGTGTTGTTGGGTATTGGAGGGTGTTGGAGGTGTTGGAGGGTTGGAGGGTGTAGTGTTGGAGGGTGTAGGAGTGTGTTGCTGTTGGAGGTAGAGTGTGTTGGAGGGTGTAGGAGTGTGTTGGAGGGTGTAGGAGTGTGTTGGAGGTGTAGGGAGTGTGTTGGAGGGTGTAGGGTGTGGAGGTGTGTTGGTGGGTGTTGGAGGGTGTAGGAGTATGTTGCTGAGGGTTGGAGGGTGTAGGAGTGTGTTGGTGGGTGTTGGCGGGTGTAGGAGTATGTTGGTGGGTGTTGGAGGGTGTAGGATTGTGTTGGTGGGTGTTGGAGGGTGTAGGATTGTGTTGGTGGGTGTTGGAGGGTGTAGGTGTGTGTTTGTGGGTGTTTTGGGGTGTAGGCAGCAACACAGCATATGTTCCGGGAAAACTGACTTGGAAACCACGACAGGAAATAATGGAATGACTTTTTTCTTAACATTTCTTCTGGGAAAAAAAAGAAACAGGAAGTGGAAGCGGTAGAGATAGGACTGGGGGTAATAAGAGCTCCTTTTTTCCGTAACTTACAAAAATCCTCTTCCTATCTTCCTCCTCTTATCTTCCTCCTCTTCTTCCCCACAACCCTTACTCTTCATCTTTCTCCTCTTCTTCCACACGCCCTCTCCCCTCTTCACCCTCCTCCTCCTCGTCTTCTTCACCCTCTTCCTCCTCCTCAGTATATCACTCAGTATGATAAAGATGCACCCACAGTATAATAAATAATATAGTGAAGTATGATAATATAAGAATGATTATTGACGTGTGTGTGTTAAGTATAAGAGATGTTACACGCACCACTAACTCCACCTTATACACACACCACTAACTCCACCTTATACACACACCACTTACTCCACCTTATACACACACCACTAACTCCACCTTATATACACACCACTAACTCTACCTTCTACACAGACCACTAACTCTACCTTATACACACACCACTAACTTTACCTTATACACAGACCACTAACTCCACCTTATACACAGACCACTAACTCCACTCCCCTCCTTCACAGAGTCCACATGGGTTGTCTGCAGCTCAAGAGGTGGTTGTCGTTCTTACCAGCGGCCTTCATCGTTTACATTCTCCTCCACTATCTAGTGTACCAGCCAGACCTGACCGGCCCTCATTCTCCTGTCCTGGGTGAGTCCTGAGTCCTACTTCTACCTCCACCATAGGTCCTCCTCCGCCATAGGTCCACCTCCGCCATAGGCCCTCCTCTGCTATAGGTCCTCCTCCGCCATAGGTTCTCCTCTGCTATAGGTCCTCCTCCACCATAGGTCCTCCAACACCATAGGTCCTTCTCCACTATAGGTCCTCCTCCATCATAGGTTCTTCTCCGCCATAGGTCCTCCTCCACCATAGGTCCTCCTCCACCATAGGTCCTTCTCCACTATAGGTCCCTCCTCCGCCATAGGTCTTCCTCCACTATAGGTCCCTCCTCCATAGGTCCTCATCTGCTATAGGTCTACCTCCACTATAGGTCCTCCTCCACCATAGGTCCTCCTCCACCATAGGTCCTCCTCCGCCATAGGTCCACCTCCGCCATAGGTCCATCTCCACCATAGGTCCTCCTCCGCCATAGGTCCACCTCCGCCATAGGTCCATCTCCACTATAGGTCCTCCTCTGCCATCGGTCATCCTCCGCCATAGGTCCTCCTCCGCCATAGGTCCTCCTCTGCCATAGGTCATCCTCTGCCATAGGTCCTCCTCTGCCATAGGTCATCCTCTGCCATAGGTCCTCCTCTGCCATAGGTCATCCTCTGCCATAGGTCCTCCACCATAGGTCCTCCTCCGCCATAGGTCCTCCTCTGCCATAGGTCATCCTCTGTCATAGGTCCTCCTGCACCATAGGTCCTCCTCCAGCAAATATTATATTCTCTTCCAGGAGACAATTGTTATGGTAGGATGGGTTAAGTTAGGATAAGTTAAATTAGGTTAGGTTACTATGTTATGTAACCTCTCCTATAAACAGTGTAGGTTAGGTTACTATGTTACGTAACTTCTATAAACTATATATAACTCCTGGCGGCAGTCACCTTTACCGACCAGCGCCACTGATAGTGTCTTTTGCAACCCAACCCAATCCAACCTAATCCAACCTAATCCAACCCAACCTAATCCAACCAAAGTGTATCGTGTATGTATATATGTGTGTCTCTCTCTCGAAGTGGAATGTATATTTTAGTGTAGAATTTAATTGATATTTATCTTGGCTTTTATACAAGTTTTTATTTAATTTATGACTGAGACAGGAATCTGTTTTGTCTGGTGAGAGAGAGAGAGAGAGAGAGAGAGAGAGAGAGAGAGAGAGAGAGAGAGAGAGAGAGAACTTTAACAAGGTTATTCCTACTTCCCTCTTTTCACAACAAGTGTTACCAGACCTACAGTGAGACCATCTACATAACCAGCTGTGTATGCCATATTGTGGTCTACCATACACGGGTCTACCATACATAGGACTACCATACATAGGACTGCCATACACAGGTCTACCATACACGGGTCTACCAAACATAGAACTGCCATACACGTCTGCCATACACGTCTGCCATACAAGGACTGCCATACACGTCTGCCATACACGTCTGCCATACAAGGACTGCCATACACGTCTGCCATACACGTCTGCCATACAAGGACTGCCATACAATTATTAAAGTGAGCTCATCAAGTAAATACGATAGGGGAGGTTGTGGTAATGTTGAGTAACCACTGACAGACCTTTTCACCTGACGGCACACACTGACCACAGACAGAGAGACGAGCGGTGTAATAGACAGATACAGATAAAATGTTAGATAGAGAAATACAAAGACAAACGGGGGGAAGAGGAGGGTACACACGATGGCCCTTGGCAGCTACAGTATGGTGTGTGTGGGTGTGGGTGTGGGTGTGTGTGGGTGTGTGTGTGGGTGTGTGTGTGTGGGTGTGGGTTTGGGTTTGTGTGTGTGTGTGTGGGTGTGTGTGTGGGTGTGTGTGTCAGGTCTAACATAACTAATAACTGTTTCTCTCCCTCAGTTGGCCGGCGGTCCAACGAGAGTGTTGTGTCCGTGGTGGAGGGGAGGAAGCTACAGGGCGGCGCTCGGGTACTGCCGCCACTCTCTCCAGATACTGGTGACGAACTGAGTGACCAGAGTGACGCGGCCACCTCGGAGGTCCCGCCTGCGGCCCTCTCGGCGGCGGGCACCGGCCACAACGACGACAACACCACCGTCCAGCAAGGTAGTGGAGCCACCAACCCCGTCAGCACCGTCAGGTTTGAGAGTGTGTCGCGGGCCCTTGGGGGGGATACTGCTGGGTCTCTCTATGGTGAGGACTCCGGTGTGGTCGGGGGTGGCGGCGGCCTTGTCGGGTCAGGCGGCGTGGAGGCCACATACTCGGCCAGTGGCACCGCAAGTCGAGGGGATATTGCCACTTTATCCAGAGGTCCTGAGGTCAGTGTAGGAGGCCTGGGACCTCTTGAGGAGGCCAGCTCGGCTCCCGTGGCCTCTCGTGTCCATTCCACAGCGCTGGCCATACCCTCCACACCCCGGCCTGCACCGCCCGTCGCCCCAGACACCTGGATAAGACCCCCCGGGGCCAGCGCCCCCCACGTCCCTGTCCATCTGTCACCCCCCCTCCCTGTGTCAGCCGTGGCCCCGCCCCCCTACCATCGTAATGACCTTCACAACCTCGGCTCCACTTACCAGGTGCGGGACCCCTATATCCACTCACCCTACGGCTCCCCCTATGATCCCTACGGCGCCGCCTACAGAGAGAAGGCCAAGGCCGTTGAGCGTGCTCTCTCCGCCCACAGCCACGCCATGGCCCAGATGGGCGGGTTCCACCCACCAGCGAACGACCTGTCGCCGATGTACGACTCATTTGCTTACCCCGGAGGTCGTGATCTGACCATGGGGGAGGAGCTGCCCCCCCACAGCCGCCCAGGTAACCAGGAGGTGCATGGCGGTAACACCCTGACGGCGGCGTCCTCTTCTCTGGTGGTTCACTTCTGGTCGTGCATGACAGTACTCTCAGTGCATCCCCCCATCTCCAGTAGTTAAGTTATATCTTTACATCTGGGTTTTGTTCCCCTCAACATCTCTTCTCGTCGCCAGAACCTTGGAATGACCTGCATGTGCTGGACACCTGTATACAAGGTTGAGAATATTTCTCACCTGTCAAAGGATTACTTCTGGGGTGTTTGTTTGTGCATCGCTTTGCCCGTCACTGGAGCATTGTACTGCCTCGCCCACCTGTACCACAGACACACGGGGGACCTTGCCTGGGCATGTTAACCTTAAGTAATACTTCCTTCTTTTAGCGGTCGTGTGTGTGTGTGTGTGTGTGTGTGTGTGTGTGTGTGTGTGTGTGTGTGTGTGATAAATAAAGAAAAACTAATTAAAATGCATAAATACAACCGTGAACAAGAACAAGTATTATTATATTATACTCGACTATTAAGGGAGGTGTCAAGTATAATCAGGAGACTTATAATGATACTTATTGACTTATTTAATGAGTTACCTGCCCTCATCGTGCTTACCTGTGCGGTAATTAGCACTTATTACCTTCCCTTTCTACGCTATGACGCACTTAAGTGGATTGACAAGTGCGTCAAGAAATGAAAATGATAAGTGGTGCGTGCGTGACGTCATGGTTGGTGCGTGACGTCATGGTTGGTGCGTGACGTCATGGTTGGTAGTGAGTGATGTCATGGTGGTGGTGCGTTACGTCATGGTTGGTAGTGAGTGATGTCATGGTGGTGGTGCGTTACGTCATGGTGGAAGCTAAAAATACCCTCTCGCGTGCGTGTGTGTGTCCGTGACCTTCATGACCTAACACACGGACAGCAGCTAGTTTATTGTGCACCCCCTTACTCGTCCTGTGAGCGGTAGGATTTTAGTGGTTAGAGAGGGGGTTATGTAGAGATTGTTACTGTCGGTTAGCGTTAGGTTAGCGTTAGCGTTAAAATAGCTTAGCGTTATTTTAGGGTTATGTGAAAGTAGGTTAAGTATGGAATAGGTTAGGTTAAGTGTGGGTTAGGTGAGGTTAGTGTTAGGTTAAGCTAATAATCAGGTAAAATAAGGTGAGGGTGTGTAATGTTCACGTAATACCTGACAGAGGCCGGCGCCCTCCACCTGCCTGAGGCGGGGGGTCAAAGTCTTAACCTCTAAAACACCAGAATCCCTCCAGCTGCACCTCACACACCTTCCACAGCCCCTCTAGTCCCTTCACAGTCTTTCCAGTCCCCGCACAGCTCCTCCAGTCCCTCCACAGTCTTTCCAGTCCCTTCACAGTCTTTCCAGCCCCTCCACAGTCTTTCCAGTCCCTTCACAGTCTTTCCAGTCCCTCCACAGTCTTTCCAGTCCCTTCACAGTCTTTCCAGTCCCTCCACAACCCCTCCAGTCCCTCCACAGCTCCTCCATTCCCTCCACAGTCTTTCCAGTCCCTCCACAGTCATTCCAGTCCCTCCACAGTCCCTTTCCAGTCCCTCCACGTCCAGTCCCCTCCAGTCCCTTCCAGTCCTCCACAGTCTTTCCAGTCCATCCACAGTCTTTCCAGTCCTCCACAGTCTTTCCAGTCCCCTCCACAGTCTTTCCAGTCCTCCAGTCTTCCAGTCCCTCCACAGTCTTTCCAGTCCTCCACAGTCTTTCCAGTCCCTCCACAGTCTTTCCAGTCCTTCCACTGTCTTTCCAGTTCCTCCACAGCCCCTCCACAGTCTTTCCATTCCCTCCACAGTCTTTCCAGTCCCTCTACTGTCTTTCCAGTCCCTCCACAACCCCCAATAGTCTCTGAAGAAAACACCTCCTCCTCCTCCGTGTTCCTCGGTTCTTACAGCTATTATCTCTCTCTCTCTCTCTCGGTGTTTTATTTACATTCTCTTTTTTCTGAAATTTATCAAAATTTTTTGCTCTTGTAAGAGTCATTCTTAACTCCTCTCTCTCTCTTGATCCCTTCCTCTTCCTTTATTGTCACGCCACCTCTCCCTCCCTCCCTCCTTCCTTCCTTCCTTCCTTCCTTCCTTCCTTCCTTCCTTCCTTCCTTCCTTCCTCCTCCCTCCTCCCTCCTCCCTCCCTCCTCCCTCCCTCCCTCCCTCACCCTGATAATTTGAGAGTCAAATTGAAAAGGTTTATGGCAGGTGTTGCTGGTGAATGGTGGTGGTGGTGGTGATGGTGGTGGTGGTGGTGATGATGATGATGGTGATTGTACTTCACACTCCCCTCTTTCACCCTCACATCACCTGATCACACCTGTGCCAGAAAAATTGGTCGGGTCATTAACGTCGGCGCTTTGATGGTGAGGCCGTGACCTACCTGTGTTTAGCCTCACCTGTAAATATTGGCTCTCGACTCACCTAAGACTTACCTGAATTAGAGGAAGTCCGGCAGGTAATCAAGGTGTGGGGGCAGCCCGGCCACGGTGAAGATGAAGAATAGAATTTCTCTGGGGTGATGGGTGGGGAGGGAGGAGAGGGGATGCCTGGGGAGGTGGGGAGGGAGGAGTGGGAGAGGAGGGAGGAGTAGGGGATGCCTGGGGAGGGGAGGAGTAGGGGATGCCTGGGGAGGGAGGGTAGGGGGGATGACTGGGGAGGGAGGAGAGGGGAGGAGACTAGGGGGGATGCCTGGGGAGGAGGAGGGGGATGCCTGGGGAGGGGAGGGATGCCTGGGGAGGGGGAGGGATGACTGGGGAGGGGAGGAGGGGGATGCCTGGGGAGGGGAGGAGTAGGGGATGCCTGGGGAGGGAGGAGGAGGGAGGGATGACTGGGGAGGGAGGGAGGGGGGATGCCTGGGGAGGGGAGGGAGGGGATGCCTGGGGGGATGCCTGGGGAGGGGAGGAGTAGGGGAGGGATGACTGGGGAGGGAGGAGTAGGGGATGCCTGGGGAGGGAGGAGAGTAGGGGATGCCTGAGGGAGGGGAGGGAGGAGACTGAGGGGATGACTGGGGAGGGAGGAGAGGGGGGATGCCTGGGGAGGGGAGTAGGGGGGATGACTGGGGAGGAGGGGGATGCCTGGGGAGGGAGGAGAGGGGGATGCCTGGGGAGGGGAGGAGGGAGGGATGACTGGGATGACTGGGGAGGGGAGGAGTAGGGGGATGCCTGGGGAGGGAGGAGTAGGGGATGGGGAGGGGAGGAGGGGGATGCCTGGGAGGGGAGGAGTAGGGGGATGCCTGGGGGAGGGAGGAAGATGATAGAGGGAGTAGGTTAGGTTAGGTTAGGGGCGACGCCTCACCTTACTCTCAACCCCGTTAATGAGTTACACCTGAGAATTCTCTCAAGGTGGTGAGACTGGGAACGCCTTCACCTACCGCACCCGCACCTTCACCTACCACACCTTCACCTACCACACCTTCACCTACCGCAACCGCACCTTCACCTACCGCACCCGCACCTTCACCTACCACACCTTCACCTACCACATCTTCACCTACCACACCTTCACCTACCACACCCGCACCTTCACCTACCACACCTTCACCTACCACACCCGCACCTTCACCTACCACACCTTCACCTACCACACCTTCACCTACTGCTGTTCTGTGCTAAAGATCTGTCACAGCACTTGCATATCTTTTGTCTTGCTGTACCGTCTAGGGTGTGTTGGTGGGTAGGGTGAGTTGGTGGTTAAGTGCATAATTGCAATAGAGGAAAGTAATCAACCAAAGTAATCAAGTAAAGTAAACGACTAAGGTAATTGAGGAAAGTAATCAACCAAAGCAGTCGAGCAAAGTAATCAACCAAGGTAATTGAAGAAAGTAATCGACCAAAGTAATCAACCAAAGCAGGCGAGGAAAGTAATCGAGGAAAGTAATCGAGGAATGAAGAGAAGAAAAAAGGTTAAGTTATATTAAAGGTAATTAATTGACTTGGTTATCATGATGTGTTTGTTGTGATGTTGTAACTTATCTCCGAGACACTACCGGTACACTCCCTCCCTCCCGTCCCTCGCTCTATTCTCAAACCTGGTGGCGGCTGTGCTGGAGTAGTGGTAGTAGTATTGTCATCTATGTGTAGTCGTAGTAGTAGATGTCACATAAGTGTAATAGCAGTAAAAGTATTAGTAGTAATTTGTTATGTATAAGTGTACTTAACTTTTTTCTTCCATAGCAGATATTGGTAAGTACTCGCATTAGAATTTTTTGCAATGATAATAATTATAATAATGATGATGTTGTAATATTATTTCCTATATCAGTACATGTGTTATGAACGCATGTGTGTGTGTTTTATTGTTATGCTTTACGATCTAACCCAAAATTACGTCAATATTTCGCATGTTTTACTAATATGGTCTTGGCAACTTATCAACAGGTAGTAACTGAGGTGAACAAATATTTTTTTGTTTTAGTTTTTGTTTATGTTTTAATGATATTCTTGATTAATTCCAGGGTCTCGCATGTGTTTGTGTGTGTGTGTGTAACCTCTCTCTCTCTCTCTCTCTCTCTCTCTCTCTCTCTCTCTCTCTCTCTCTCTCTTTTTCCACAACGTGACGTCATATAGTCCGTTTGTTATTGTAAATGTTAGTAACTCTGGCAAATGTCTTGAGGGTAAATGTCACACGTTGAACAGTTAAGAGTGGTTAATATCATCAGCTGGCAGTGTGTGTGTGTGTGTGTGTGTGTGTGTGTGTGTGTGTGTTTTGTTACCTCAGAGTTAAAAGGTGTGTGTGTGTGTTTGCGGTTAGGTTAGGTAACTGTTAAGGTGGTCCAGATGAAGACAAGACGAGAGAAAGGCCACAGTTGTGTTCCTTTGTGAGGCGGGAGGCGGTGTTCACTTGTTTCCGTGTGAGTGTCTGACCTCTTGACCCCGGGTGGAAAGGTCAACCTCTTGTCCTCTTGGTACTCTCTCACTTACATTCCCCTTCTTGCACGCACGCACACACACACACGAGAGAGAGAGAGAGAGAGAGAGAGAGAGAGAGAGAGAGAGAGAGAGAGAGACTCCACCACCTTCACTTTTACTTGTCATTTATCTGATCTCACGACTTTCCCATTTATCTCTCTCACTCTGTATCTTTCTCTTTTACTCTTTCTTTCTCTCTCTTACTTTCTCTTCTAGTTAGGTCTGGTTAATTGGGGCCCATTAGGACAGATTAGATTAAGTTGGGGCCCAATTGACCAATTACCACAGTACACAAAGCCTTAAAATATGGCTGCAGAGATACGTGTGTGTGTGTGTCAAACTAAACTATCGAACTAATATTACAAAAATACATTGTTACGTTTTAAATGCAAGAGAGCGGTTTTCTTACCGTAGAACTCAGATACCTTCACACCGATTACTCACCCAGGAGAGTATGGTGTATCACTACGTAGAATTTCACTCTGCTTCCGGTATTCAATGCGTTGTGTACTTGATAAATGATGATTTAATGAATTCCATTAATTTCCAGCATCCATCTAAGTTATTGGTTATACTTTGTCATAACCAATCAGTCATTACCCTTGGTAATAATAATAATAGAGGGATCACAGATACAGGCAGATGATTGCACTTACGTTTATTTGGCACAATTCCATACACTGGACTTATAATTTGCATGGATAGGTCAGTCACTCACATTCACGCCACAGTACCGTAAGTTATAAGGGAGAGTTTGTCAACCTGGGGATTTAATCGTTAGATCTATTAGGCCGGCCTGGAGTGCTCTTGTAGCAAACAGGCCCTCACCAGTGATCACTTCCTTTACAGGATTCATTAACTTTTCGCTGGACTTAACAACAATCTCGGGGATTTGCACACACAGACCCGTAGCACTGGTAGGACTGTATGGCCCCTGTTCTAAATCCGCGGAGCAGGTCTTCTCTCACCCAAGGACTAAAGCCCACTCTAAAATGTGGTTTTGAGGCGTGAAATGATTATCAGTACAACACTGTCTCACTGGCCTCCCCCTATCAGCTGGCCGGGTACCTTATCTCTACCTAAACAAACATTTGGGATGGGTTGTGCGGCGGGTAGGCCCAACGCAACCCATGACATACATTAACTCATTGTATTCATTGATGTATTACAAAAAAAAATACATTATTTTTTTCTGTGTATTTTGGTTTATTTATTTTAAGTATTTTGTTTACACTGGATCCTGCAAGGAATGTCAGGAATGGTGGTAGTGTTTGTAGTTGTGGTAGTGTAGGTTAACCAGTGTGTGTGTGTGTGTGTACTTATGGTAGTGTAGATAATTGTAGTTGTGGTAGGTGGTGTAGGTGAGGTAGTGTGTGTAAAATAATTGTTGTAGTGTGTAGTTGTGGTAGTATGTGTGATTGTGGTAGGTGGTGGTACACGGTCGAACATACAATCTCTAGTTTATTTATATCCTGGTTGGGTAGTAGTGGTGGTCGCTCGCCAACTTGGTAACACTGCACCAGGCATGCCACCTCCCACATCAAGAGGTGTGTTAGGGTTAAAGGTGTTTGTTTATCTTGGCAACAGTGTATAGGGATGATTTATACTTGGCAACAGTGTATGGAGATGATTTATACTTGGCAACAGTGTATAGGGATGATTTATACTTGGCAACAGTGTTTGCGAATAAATGATAACGCCTCTCTCTCTCTCTCTCTCTCTCTCTTTCTCTCTTTCTCTCTTCTGTAACTGGTGACGTGTGACTGTATATAACTGATTCCTGAAAACCATGTGACTGTCTATCTAATTGACTCCTGAAAAACATGATTGCCTGACTGACTCCTGAAAGACGTCATGGAACAGATCACAGACTGGCTGGCGGGAGAGTTAATAGAGACTGGCGCTACAATGAGTTAGTCACTGGACCAGCTATTAAATACAGTACGGTAATTCTTGAGGTGTACCTGTGTTTGAGAATGTACAGTACACACCTCTGTTGTTGGACACTGTCATGGCTGGGTGTGTACATGTTGTTATAAAGGAACTTACATTCATCTATGTATATTCACATATACATACACACAATCTATTTATATATATACACATACACATGACACACACACACACGTCCACACACACAAACAGACACACACACACATATACAGTATACGAACACACACAAGCAAACAGCATATTTAATCTTAAGGTTAATTACTTTAACGCTCACCTAACCTAACCTAACCTAATATAGTCTAAATTAAAGTAATCCTAACCTAACTTCAAGTAACCCTAACCTAACCATTGTCTCTTGTTACAATATTGGTCACGGAAGAAAGATTTTACGAGTTAATTAAGACTACCTGAGAAGTGAAACATTGACACAAGAAAAATTACTTCCGTTCACTACCTCTTTAACCTTTATCCCCCCCAGCCCCACCTCCTCACCACCCTCTCTCCCTCACTTACACCCCCCGCCCCCCGAGGTCACGCCCCGGGCAGGTGACTGTTAACATTTACCTGTAATTTTTAGTGAATGTTAATAACAGTCAGTTAAAGGTAAGTACTATATTCCGTTTGTAATTAATTCATAGCTTACCTGTGATTAAAGACATGACACATTCTACCTGTGTCATTCTACCTGTGATGGAGTGAAGGTTACCTGGTACAGTAGTTTTTTATGCCGTAATTACTGTCATTGTCTACCTTGATAGTAACTTACCTGTGCTATATGTACATGTGTGTGTGTGTGTGTGTAGGGCGGGGCTAGTGGTGGCCTCCCATAAGCTGCCTGTTCACAAAGCCACCAAGGAAAGTGGCTTTTTTCTCCACATCTTAGCAGCTGAGAGATCATCCAGGGTGGCTTAAGGGTTAATCCGGACCAACACAGATCATCCAGGGTGACTTAATCTCTCTCTCACCGTCGCTTCTCTGGTAACACTGTATTGTTGAATTAACTTTGCATGGTTGCCATCCCTTTGTATTTCTTACCTTTTAAAACTTTGTGTTATCCACCGTTTTTGGTAACACTGCTTCGTTCCCTTTGTAAGTGTGTGTGGAACTGGCCAGTGTGTATTGACTTAGTTAACCGGCCACATATTGCTGGAGTAACCGTGAAAGAGAGAGAGAGATTAACAAGACTCAGTTAAGGGACCAACACACATATACACTGACTGACTGACTTAGTAACTGACGGACTGACTGACACTGGCTCAACTCACAGCTGTTATGAGTCGAGTTGAAGTAATTTAATTAAAAGTGAGAAAAAAAGGGATCTTAGTGAAGGAAAATTTAACACACACACACACACACACAGAGTAACCTAGTGACAGGTCTCCATGTTGTTGGGTTACGCCGTTATGACTCTACCCCCCTCCCTCCTTCCCCCTCTTCTCTCATCTTGCCCCCCCCCCTCTCTTTTCTTCTCCCCCTCCTCTCCTCTCAACTTGCCTCCTCCTATCACTACCCTCCTCTTCTCTTACCCCCCCCCCTCCTCCACACACACACACTGGGCCGTAACGCACTTCACCGTGACATAATATAACGGAGATGAGAGGTGGAGGAGGTGTGAAGGAAGTGCTAGATGTAGAAATCAATAAATCGTAGACAGGTTATTATTATTACTACTATTATTATCGTTATTATTATTATTATTATTGGTCTAACTCATAATATCATAGTACTGTAGTTTCTATACAGTGTGAGTCGGTATATCATGTTCATGTTGGTTCACAGGTTCAGGAGTACAGCCAGTGCCGGTCTCCACCACCCGGGCTGTAGCTCCATCTGGCCAGGCAGCACCACAGCCACACACTGATGGCACAGCAGGCACAGCACCACAGCAAAAACAGACTGTGGCTAAGAAAACTGCTGTGAAGAAGACGGCCAGTTTGCTAGCACCTGCCCTGGCTATTAATGCACTTAGGGGGAAAATTAAGGTAAAGTATTAGAACGTTTCGGGCAGTAATGATTCCCGGTGCTGAGGACATTTCTGTACAGTATATTAAAGGCCTGTAGGGGCACATTGTGAAGTCATTATATACATAGTATTGATGGCACTATTTATTGATGTGTGATTCCATTTGCAAATTTACTTATGCAGAATAAAAGTGTAAAAATACTATTCTGGCGCAAATTTAGCGCTGGTATAATGTTTAAAATGTATTTATATTACACTTCAACAGCTAAAGTCTTTATGTATCAAGTTTACTAATCACACTAATAGGTCAACAGTGAGAGATTGTAGGAGATACAGCACTAACACAACTCTGTACTCTAACATTATAATGACCATTTTGAGTGATTTTTTTTAACATTATCTAAACAGTACAGTGAACCTTGAGAATGTTAACTGGTTAATCCATTAGTTACAGTAAAGAAGATTAGTGTAGTGGACGAGGCCTTTATTGTAGTTGTGTATGAGAAGCACCAAAACTTTCACTCCTCCTCTACATCTCATAAGATTTTTTTTCCTTAAATTCTCATGTTGAGGAAGAGGTGGTGGGAGTCCAAATTGTCTAAATACAGTATCAGATATTTGCCCCAACAACCACAGACAGGTGCTACTTTACTTAAAAAAACAACTGTGTTTGTGTTAGATGAGTAGCACCTAACATTCAGTGTGTAATAATGAACTCTAGATTGTCTGCTACACATGGTTATTTTATATAGGGGCAGATCCAGGAATATCAAAAGGGGGGGTTCAAGAAGTTGTGGGTGGTGGACCATGCGGGCCATGTGCACTTAATATTAGGAGATATTATTCTGAGGTCAATAGTAATTAATTTTACTATACAAAAATTTCTGAGTACAATACTGCATTAAAAACAAAATATTACTGTAATGGATTTTTCTGATGAAAAGGGGTTAAGGATCCCCAGGACACCCCTGGATTCGCCCGTTATATTATTTTAATGTACGTACTATCACTACAAAAAGTAACTTTACGGAGGGTTTCGATGAATTTTAAAATGAACGCTGTGACTCCTGTTGTCTCGGTAGGGTTGTCAAAATCCTGTTGTCATATTTTCCCAAAACAATTTTGTAGAGATAATTTTTGAGTGACTTCAATATTTTCAAATTTACAAGTTTGTATTGATTATATTATTGTTACAGGTTGGTGAGAAATATGAATCTGGGTTCAGCGTTCCTCATGAAGAGCTGTGTGAGAACAACGGGCGGGACCTGAAGGTGTTGGTGCTCATCACAACCGCCCCCGATCATGAAAAACACCGCACTGCTGTCAGACAGACGTGGGGCCACTTCACCGTGAGGAAGGACGTGGTTATGGCCTTTGTGATCGGCAGGACCACTAACAACAACGTTCAGAGTAACATAGACAAAGAAAATGAGTTGTTTGGGGACATCATACAAGCAAATTTTATTGATCATTATAGTAACCTTACGCTGAAGACCATCTCCATGTTTGAGTGGGTGAAGACCTATTGCTCTGAGTCTCGGTTCATCTTGAAGACGGACGACGATATGTTCATCAACATGCCATTACTTTTAAATTTTGTCGACGCCAAGTTGAAGGAACAACGCGTCATGTACGGTCGAATGGCCAAAGGTTGGAAGCCGGTGAGGAACAAGAAGAGCAAGTACTATATCGACACCAGCATTTACAGCAAGTCCAAATACCCAGACTTCCTGACGGGGCCGGCATACCTCTTCACGAGCGATGTGGTGGACGACATCTACCAGAAGGCCCTGGACACCACCTTCTTTGTGCTGGAGGACGTCCTCATCACCGGCATCGTGAGTGAGAGTTTGAGAATCAAAAGAATAGGAGATTCTCGGTTCAGGAATGAAAAAATAAAACTAGTAGACACTTGTAGTCTCTTGAAAACAATATCAATTCATATGGTTAAATATGAGGAACAGTTTGACATTTACAAGCGGACATTAGATGGAAAAGCTAAATGTAAGGCTGGATAGTTGAATGTATAATAGTTCTCCTCTTCAATAAGAAGTAGAAGCTTAATGTCGGCAGGTATAAGTGTACCATGTGATAGACAAAATATGATATATGCTCAAAATGTGACTCTTTGGAAGTCTGTGGTTCCCTGTTTCCTTAAGTCTGATGGAACCAAGAGACATTTTCATTGATGTCTAGTCTACATTTCACACAGTGACTGTAACATAAACTTAATGTGTAAGTTGCACATACCGGGATGCAAAACTTTGTCCCGAGCTAATTCGAAAACGAGAAATTTACATAAAGTGACAAGGGATTCATGTGAAAATATTGAGCCAAAGATGTTACACTACTGAGCTTGTGATGATCATCCTCAAGTATATTATATACTATTTATTTATTATGTTCATATATTTTTTTTTTCATTCACACAAGCCTTTTCCTGTTATGGTGCATTACATTACAGAGTGGCCAGTGTTACAGTATAGGGTGGCCAGAGAGTTACAGTACAGAGTGGCCAGACAGATACAGTACAAGGTGATACAAGTCCACTTCAGGGTTGTTTCACCATCAACAAGTGTGCAGTAATCATGTCTTGGGCTAAGTGTACAGTAGTGTAGTACCTGGAGTGAAGTCAAAGTCTTCACTCCTATGATCACTATACCTGTAAGGTTGAGAGGCTCTACCGACTGAGCTAAGGAGCCACAATTTATGTCCATTAAAATAATTATGATACTGTATAAGAGTTGTGAAGAACGTTAAAGGACTTATTTTTTAATGCTAGAAGACTTTTACCCCTTTTGTTGATATGATGGATTCATAGTCGTGTTGTCTTTTGTTTTAAGAGTCGATGATACCACACCCATAGTCCTCCCTTGTGTGTTGACCGCAGTGAGATAAAGAATGTGACTGTGTTGGTCATGTAGCGGTGAGTTTAGGAACAACATCTATAAAGGTCATGTTCCCTTGAATTAGTGTTTCTGGGGGGTGAGGTCATCATCCCTCCAATCAGTCACCTTCGCTCTGGCCTTTCTCACCCGGCCACACCATAATGGCTCCTTGGCATTATCACATTAAACTATCCTTTTAAAACCTACCATATTTTGTTCTATCTCAGCGTAACATCTCAATATATGTCAACACCACAGACTTTTAAGAGACAAATACAAAAATGGCAGAATATTGTAGACAATATATACTACATTACTGTGCTTTTATTCTTTAGATGTGTTGCTTGTAAATCACATATTTGCAACTGTATTTTAAAATTTCCTTTGCTTTTAATTTTTGATAGAATGATTGTATAAGAAGTAATGAAAACGAATGAATAATGAATGGGGCTGGAAAATGTAGGACTTACGAGTATATTGTCAGCATCATTGAAGAGCAAACATTACTAACCATGAACGCCTCTGATTTACAAAAATAATTTTGATAACGTGTCCGTAAAAAGACGTCAACAACTGTCCACATGAACGTGATATTTTTATTCTGCCTGATTGTATATAAAATCAAAACGTTGAAATTGTGTCGTCTATACCAAGGGCAGATGATGTCAGTGATTTACCAGAGATAAATTGTCTTATTTCCTTGACATAGTAAAGAAAGAAGTTGTTGTAAGACATTAGAGGTTTACTGTGACCACCGTCTTAGATCCTCACCAGGAAGGTCACACGATGGCTGCTTTGGAGTTTCACACTTTCTTACTTCACGTTATAAATGATGTCTTCGCTAAATTAATAAACAGATTAGAAGATTTTTGCGAGGAGTGTCGGTCGTTGAGACTTGAGATTGTCTGCAGTGAGGGAGGATTATGCTGGTGGTGTCCCTCATCTCTGAATAATGGAAGAAGCCTTTTAGCATTTAATAAAGATTTTTTTTAATAGACATCACAAAGCAGTAAGTTAAAGACTGGATACCCCTATTATTGTCTGTGATCTGCATTACCATTTTTTAATTGCTCACATTTTGCATTTTGTGTAATTTTGTCAGCTTGAATGACATCTCAATATTATTCTTTGTAAGATGTTCCTAGTGTGAGAAAATAATCCAGAAACTGATGTACTTGCACAGTTTTTTTCTTTTTGTTGCAGCATTTTGTAATATTTGCACAAGAGGTGATACCCTGGTGGTGTCATCCTTCATAAATTGTCTCTTAATATTAGTGTTAAGCTTTTAGCTGTACAGTACTGTATTGTATTTGAGTATCTTCATCATAAGGTATGAAATGATAGAGTGAAATTCCCTCCTCTTGTAATGAATAAGAAAGTTTTCCTCAGTAAGAATCATAAGGTGAGCCCATTGACCCTGGCCTTGTGTGTTGTGCTGTAGACTTGGTGTGAGACATACTGACAGTCTTACAGTGCTATCAACTAAAATAAGTGTTGCAGTACTACCATTTAAAACGAGGCTTACAGTGCTACCAACTAAAACAAGTCTTGCAGTACTACCAACTAGAACATGTGAGTCCCCTGTTATTACTCCCATTTACATATTCAGTAATTAATGAAAGCATTTACTGTCTCCACTGATAATATACCTGTTATAAATAATGACCAGAACACTACCATGAGGTACTGGGAGGAACATGATCTGGCAGTATTTCACTACAAGAACAATGTTACGTTCTGCTGATCCCAGGAAGGTTGACACTGAGGTACTAGTTGTCCTTGGCCACAAGTGATCATGTGTGGGAGAACTACTGTGACAATTGATTGATTTATCATGTATGCTTCAATTAACTGTTTTCTGTTCACATGTTTTGTGCACTAAGATTGTACAGTACTTGTGTGTAATTTTAGATTGTTATGGAATAATGGATCTGATTAATTTTCTCTCCCAAAATGTTATTAAGTACTGTACAGTATTCAGTTGTCATCAGCGAAATACCGTTTATAAATTTTTAGCCGTAGAATAGATGTTTTTAATCTAACAAGAGTCGGGTGAGATGCATCTAGATTTTATTATTAGTCACAATATGATTTAATAATATCTTAATTACCACCTGATTAATAAAAGTTTCATAATGATGCCCCAGATCGACAGACCCTTCTGCTTGTGGTCGTGTTTTTTACAGATGAAGATTATCAGGGATACTGTACAGTACATGTTGTCCAGTAGTAGATGATGATAAACAGTGTTGTGTCATCCCCTGGCTAGTGCCCATGGTGTAGGTAGAGTTATGTCATGATAACAACTGATTTCAGATATTATCTTTACCCTCACAGGACTTAACTTTAATCTTTAATTACTCAATTGATGATAAAGCTTTAGAATACAATGCTGTGTTTACTTACTATATTGTACATGAACTTACCAAATAGAGTCTGGGTATTCTGTTTTATTCTCAGAACATAATTTTATATTTCCCAAATGTGCATAAATTTCAGACATTTATTAGTGGGAAGTGAGAGTCATAGTCTGGGTGCTTCTGAGGCCAGTGTAGGATCAGTTTATAGTATACAAGGCCTTCAGTACACCAGGAGGCAGCATGGCCAACACTGCACTCGACCAACTTCACTTTCCTTGACTGTAATGTTTGCCATTCACAGCTGGGAGACCTTGATGTGAACCATCAGTCCTCCAGACAGAGGTGAGTCTTTTATCCAGTCAACCACAGCTCCCAATTTTTTTTTTATTAGAAACACCAAACCTAAATTAATCTGGTTATGTTCAATAAGTGTAAGTCAAGACATCACATTTGATTTGTATAACTGAAGCTTTATCCAATTATGTTTTAGAACACACGAGTGTACAGTATCTCTTGTGATGAAGGTTAAAGAGCCACCAAACTTGTCCATTACTGTACTACAATCACTATCAATTGTTACTGTAATTGTTAAGTTATTTTAGTAGTCAGGAAAAGTTATATTATTCCAGATAATCAAACTACAAGAGTACAGTACATTGGTCCGCTCACCTTATGAGGAAAGCCTTAAAAAGTAGACAGTGTAGCCGGTAGAGTTTGCAACAGTTACCGGTACTTGAGATTACCACCGAGATACATAATGTGCCGTTACTTTAGTTGTGTCATTTTCCTGTTAAAGACTTGTTTTGTGGAGAGCAAGAGAGACATTGTTGACTTTATATTTAGTTACTGTTGAAATTTTCTTAGAATCTGTTGTATGAATGAGTAAATTTTTTTTTGTGATTTACTGTACAGCTCAAAACTTGTAGTCTGTAGTAAAGGCATTTGTGCTGCCATTATACAACCTCTTCCTCTCCACACCAGTCATTTTGGTCATTTTCACCTCCAACGAATCATGAGGTCCCCACCGCTGCTTTGTGTTGTGTCCGTTGCCAAATTTTGTGTTGTCGTGTAGTTGGCCCGATACTGTGGGTAAATCACTTTGACGAGGCAGTCGCTTAGTCTAGTGTGATACTGTAGCTGCCGTGACCGAGGTTCGTCGTCGGCGTTTACGACTACGACGCACAACGAAGACGTAGCGAGTGACAGACCGGGACGAAGTTGTATTGCATTATACTTTTTGTAAATTTATTTAGATTTTTATAAAACTTGAGAGTTTTCGTAATACTAACTATACGTCTTTTTGAAAGTGACTTAATTGTGCAAGTATTTTTGTTTTCTGCCATATATGTTTTTCTTAAGAAAATTTAATAATTTTAAAATTCACAAGTTTCCTTCCCTTATTAATTCTCATATTTGCTACAAGTATAAAGGTTTTACAGCGAGTCAGTCTGTCGTCTTTCTCAGTGTGAAGATAAATTATGATTACCTCACTGTCTTCTCAGTTTCTTATAGTTGGATCAAATGTAATACATAAAAAAAATTATTCTATTAATGATAAAATTAAAAGTGAGTGAAACTGTGAAGACAAGTTATCCTGGTCTTGTTTACATACTAAATAAATTACTGTGATAACATTTGGACTATTTTTCTTAGTTTTCTTAAAATTAAGAAATTGTTGTGGTACTAAAACTTATCACAGATGAATATATTAATATTATAGTTTTGAAGAATAGAGAGACTGTCCAGGGGAATGTTGCCAGTTAGGAATTAAGAGAATGTTAACCCATCACCTTGGAGTATAGTTAAGATGGTCTTGCATTAATATATACACGACCGTATTTGACTATCTCAATAATTTTTATATTCTATTGAGTGTTAGATAAATATCAAATTGCTATCTGAGATGAAGTAGCTGTGATATAAATAGAGAATTTTTTGTACAAGGAGTAACAGAGGCTAGAGCCAGTAGGTTTGGCAGACACCCGTGTAATCCAAGACGTACGTACCGTAGTTAAGTCATTATAAACGTCATCACTGGAGTTATTTAATTAATGTTTACAAACAACATATCTTCCTGTTTGTGTCCGTAAAGTAATGGGGTAACGAGGCCTTGACGTGACAGCAATCGAGTGTACACTCACTCCAAAAAGTGTCCGTACGATTTTTGTGTTAAACAATATAAGACCACCCAACCTGAGATGACAGGACTTGTGGTGTTCATTCGTTGGAACCCTCCGTAAAGACACCTTTTGGAGAGACTGTGCCTTCCATAACCCCAGAAGAGTAATGTGTACAGTATAGTGACAACACTGTATATGTCAAACAAAAGTACTGTATGTGAAATATATGATATAGAGACACTACTGTACTATATACAGTACAGTGTATGGATCAAGCAACTACTGTATACTTCATAAGTTGCCTCTAGGAACGAGATCTTGTGAATCTGGTAAAAATATCAGTGAATTGATTGAGTTATACAAGGTGTCTCAAAAGTCATGTGCCATAGGGCTAGTAAAGGTCTTCTCTTATTTTACAGATCAGGAAATAACAAAGACAACATAAAAATTAACATGAGAAAAGAAAAAGTTTAATGTTCATGTAGGGAAAGCCAGTTTCTATACACTGATCGGTTGCAAGAAAATTTAATCAACAACATTCAGGCATGTGGGCGTTGTCAATTGATTTCTTTACCGCGTGATCAGTGTGTGGCAACTGGCCTTCTGTACAGGAATATTAAACTGATCATTCATTGTGTTAAATTTTGTATCATTTTAGTTTAACTATTTATGATTCCTTCATTTGAAAAAGAAAATAAAGTATATTAATATGCCTGTTGTGAATGACCTATGAGACACACTGTACATTATGGATGGTGTAAAAAAATATCACTAATATGTTCACTACATATCTGTGTTTCCCAGCAATGTATGTATCAAATGTTGTACACTCATGATTTGAGCTAGTCATTACACTTGCTCATAAAGTATATAGGATGATAACTTTTTACATGGTTCATAGTGAATGGTCATATGGATGTACTAATGAACAAAAACTATTTCTTATACCCTGTTCTGTACTCACGATTATTAGACAATTTCCTTTAAGGCAGAACTCTCGAAGATAATCATTATTTTACACCATTTATGTTTTAGATTTGAGAAACTAATAAATTTACAGCTAATTGGGTTTTTCTTAAGTTTCAATACAATATAATTCAGATTTTAAAGTTAATTTGAAACTCAGTTAAGAATTGTAATGGTCTTCTCCTTCTCCTCAGACAAAAATCTTGGGAATTTGGTCCAATATTGTACTTACAACTCTCAATAGACTTTATTTACTCGATGAACCCAATTTTTAGTCAAATTTACGATGAAGACGACGTATAGTCTAGCATGTTAGTCTCTCCACTTATACCAACTGGTTCCATTGTGTTTGTTGTCATATTCTATTGTATTGTATTTCTTTATTATCATGATTGCTAGATTCCAGTTCCCATCAACCGTCCAACTCATGGTACGGAATTATATACTATACGGTGAAACAAGTCTAACGGAACGGACTCGATGGGAGAGGGAGGTCCGTTATATTGCGTTCCTTTAGATGCAAAACCTCCATCTAACGGACAATATCCATTAGATAGATCTGTTATAGCTGAAGGCTTCACTGTACTGTCTGAGTGTCATTACTAAACAACCTTTTTTTAAGTTTTTAAAAATTTTCTTCTCTTAATAAAATAACGTTTTTATTTGTACGTTAAGGACCTCGTTGAATTCCAGTCAATGAGTTTTAGGGATGAGACTTGACCCGAGTTCAGTGGCAATTATATCGTCGTGGAAGATCAGGTTCTGATAGTTGTGTTGAATTGCTAGATTGTTTTTTGTTCATACAAGTCTGTCTGTCTGTCTGATGCTGTTGAACTCCTTATTCTCTTGACCTTGTGATCCTATGACACCTATCCCTTTGACCTAGTGATCCTATGACCCATATCCTGTTGACCTTGTGATCCTATGACCCCTATCCCTTTGACCTTGTGATCCTATGACCCCTATCCCTTTGACTTTGTGATCCTATGACCTCTATCCTTTTGACCTTGTGATCCTATGACCCCTATCCCTTTGACCTTGTGATCCTATGACCCCTTTACCTTTGACTTTGTGATCCTATGACCCCTATCCTTTGGCCTTCGTGATTATGCTGGCATTTCCTGTTAAACACTAGATTCAAAATATAATATGGGGTGTAATTAATCTTTTTATGTGATACTATATCTAATTATTTAATCATCATAAAATAAAAATATATCTTTCTACCTAACACATGTAATGAATCATTATCTGTACAGTACTTCATAATTTCCTTTTTTACCTTGCATTATTTTTTAGCCTTCTAAGCTTTTAGTTTAATTCGACGGCACATGAGCTAAGCTGTTGTGTCGCCAGGAATGTGATTACCATAATCAATCAATCAATCGGTCAGTCAATCACTCACTCAATCAATCAATCATAATTCCACCTCACATTTTATTGCCTCATATACAAGTTATTTAAAGCTGAGTGATGTACTTGTATCATGGCATAGGTATCTGAGGATATGTCATCTTTTATGCTGTACGGGGATACTTGCATCAGTTACCTACATTGATGTTAAAAGTTGTCATTTGGATCATTTCATTTCTTGCTCGTTTAGATCTTTTCCACGTGTGTTTGTGTGTGTGTGTGTTTGTTTTATAACTGCACCTCTATAGATTAACAAATAAAAAGGGCGAAACATTGTATCAATCAAAAACTAAGTACTGTAACAGTATAATATAAAAGTACATTTACTCCAGCTTAAGAGTTACAATATTCCTTTAATTTCATCTGCCCACGGTCACATTCCTGCATCTCATGAAACCTAACCCACGTCGGTAAAGCAATAATATTATAGATATTTAAATCGTTTATAAGAAAAAAACTTGTATGAAAAGTACAGCTTCTAATTAGGAAGCACAAGTAAGTGAAGAAAATAAATAATGTTCTTAAAAAAAATATATAATACTGATTGAGGGTAAAATAGTGAGGAGCGCTGTATCATATCAACGGTAAAATTATGAAATAGTACTTCACTCATCCACCAAACTCACTTTTCTTCTTTTTATTTTAGTTTTAACAAATACTGGTATATATATTTTTAGTTTTCCCAAAGGAGAGGTTTAGAAAGGTTGTGTGTGTTCGCTGCATCTTTCCCATTTCCTAAAAGTGACGGAATTCTTGCCACCAACTCGTACTCTGTAGAGGACCACAAGTCTCATCCACTACGGGAAATAGTGCCTTGTTAGTTTTAAGTTCCAGCTTCACCTCCGCTTCTCTTGTCATGCTTATCTTCTTTGAGAGTGACAACTGAACACTCTTTGTTGTAAATAAAGTATTATTATATTTTATAGTAAACTGTTGTATTACTTCCATGACCTTCCATACAGTCTTAAGGGCCCACGACCCATACAATTCAGGGGCGAATCCAGGAATATGAAGGGGGGGGAACATGACGAGCACAGCGAGCCCACCCAGCTGGGGGGTTTTCAAATCCTACCAATAAGTCTATAGTAAATGCTTTTTACTATACAAAAATGCCTGAGTACAATACTGCATTAAAGAAAAAGTGCTGGAATTTTCTAGTGAAAAAGGGGGGTCCAGACCCCCAGGACTGCCCTTGCAATTGCAGGGTTTCAGTGCCCCCCAAGTGATCGTTGAAACGATCTTCTCCTCAGTTTTATTATACTGAGAAAAGTCCAACAAAGCAATCCTGTAGATATATTGTGAATGTATCTGGTTCTGCAATGAATCAGATGGACAGATGAAATATGTATATTTGCTGGGTGCATAAACCCATACAGTACAGTACAGTATGTGCATCTCATACACTGTACCAGTTTAATATGAACTCTGGTAATTGAGATAACCTAGAGAATCTCCACCTTACCTTATTTCACCTAAAGATTAATCACCCTAACATTATTTGGGGGGATGGGGTAAGGTTAGGGGGTTAATCATTAAGTGAAATAAGTTGAAGAGGAGAATCGTCAAGTGATCTTTTTTAAGATTATGGCTGGAACAATATGACAATTTTTTATCTGAAAATTACAAATTATTATGTTAAACTACCTAAGTACAGTACATCCAAAATAACAAAAACACAAGAATTACATATACAGTGTAGCAAGTAAAATATAGCATTACAAAACCAAATCAATTTTCCCCAAGTCATCAGAACTAGTATTTATCAAATTCCAACTTTTGACCCAAAGATTATGGTGATCTTTTGGCTTGACCTTGGAAATAACTATGTCCTTACTTGGAGCTGGGGGACGCTCGCCCTACAAGGGGTCACAGCTCAAGATTGAAGAAGCCGCAAGTCCAGAAAACTGTGAGGGCAAAGATTTTCGGAGTGAGGGTTGTAAACTCTTGGAACAATCTACCAGAGAGTGTTGTGACGGCACCGAGTGTGAGCTCTTTCAAGACAAGACTTGACCAACACTGGAGCAAGTTCAGGTACATTCAGGAGCCGGTGCATGCCCAGTACTTCCCAACAGTGCGTGACAGAGACGACCGATCGCCCGGGCGGCTAACGAGCCGATCATTTGGTGAAGAGAATAAAAGAAAAGTAAAGTAAAAGTAACGTCTAACTCACTCGGCATAGACGACTGTAAGGACGGGAGGGGCATCCAGCACTAGAGGTCTATTAATTTATGATGGCTTAACAAACTAGTATACTGTATATAGTTCACCAGTGAAATATATTCTATTTATTAACGGTTGTGTTAGATGAATTTAAGCTGGTAAATATTATAGTTTAGTTAACGGTGAAATATTTCATTTTCTCAATCTACTTGAAAAGTGAATGGGGAACTATTAATTTGTGAATATAATAACTATATATTATGGAGTGCAGGTATACAGTTTATCATATATATATATATATATATATATATATATATATATATATATATATATATATATATATATATATATATATATATCATGTAAATCCACAATAAATACGTGGATAAGATAAATCTTGATAAAATCACACGGGAAAATGGAAACAACGGAGCACCTTAGCTTTCGTCTTTATTCAAGACATCTTCAGAGGCAACTGGATTACATGGACAGAGAGAGGCTTAAATATACAGGGTGACCTTAAAAACATGAGGTCAGGTCATAATGATGTCATCCATCTAATCCCCACACCAACACACACGTAGAGGAACTTAAGAGAAGAGGGGTGACGTGACTAGTCAGGTCAGGTCAAAAATAAGGGACCCACAAAATAACTATCATACATCTAGATCAAAGGTTTTCAAAGCATTTTTAACCTTGGGCCACTGACAAATAAATTTATGTAACATATTATCAGTTTTGAACTGACCATCACTAAGGTTTATTGATTTTAATTGACGACTCTGTACCTGCCGTGAGGGAAGCACAACATTCATCGCCTCCACACACCCTTTTTCTCCCTCTTTACTCCCACAGATATGGTGTATCTAGACAGTTGTATCCAGCGACCGGCTCATCCACGCCATCGCCGTTGTCTCACATGAGGCATGCACCGCCCGTTCTGCCTCACATGTGCTATGCAACCCTGCAGACAACAAGTCTCCTACACCGCCTGGAGGGAAGGGGGAGTATTGTAGTGGATTTCTCCCCTACAAACGCTGTTTGTCGCTGAGTAGCCGACCCCACCAATTCCCCAGTGTATGCCTCGTGGTCTAGGTCAACCAGCGCCGCCATACATCACGGAGCGGGGGTCAACTACTAAGCCACGCCTACCCCAGCTATTTAAGACCTGACCTCGTGGTGACCTGTCTCTTTCTACCTACACCAACCAGCCAGCAACACCTCCTCCTCCTCCGCTGCCTGGCGGCCCTCGCTCCCGCCGGCGAGCATGGCGACCCACAAGCTGTCCTCCTCTGAGCATCCTCACCAACCAGCTCTCTCTACATCACGCTTGTAACCATGCTGCCTTCCCAGCACCAAGCTGCATAGTACATGCAATACAACATGTATACGGAGAGCACATTGTGAGTTTCCTTCCTCCATCCCATCCTGAGTGTGAACCAAACAACCCAAACCCATATAGGGGTTAAAATTCCCTTAGGTGTTTAAGGGTCCCTCCTCATCTGAACACCGAAAACAGTGCAGGTATACAAACAAGGTAAATGGTATAAAATCAGCCAAATAACCGTCTGCTGTGATGGTGCAGGATGTGTGCTGTATGAGTACAACTGGATGACACTGCAGCCCGGAAGTTGGTGTCGTTGGAGAGAAGGTGGGGGCTGGGGGGTGCGTGGGGGGAAGAGGCAGGTGAGTGAGGGACTCCGTTACTTGGAAGAGTTGCTCCTGCTGGGGCGTTCAGTAATAACTCTATTACCTTCCCGACAACCACACCGCTACCACTCACAACCAAGCCAGGCCAGTGTGTGTGTGTGTGTGTGGTGCAACAGTGATAACAGTGACTAACCACACAGGGAGGATATGAAGTTTTTAATGACAAATTGTGTTATGAGGTAAGATCACCGCCACAAGGTTACTTAACACCAGTCACCATCACAAGGTTACTTAACACCAGTCACCATCACAAGGTTACTTAACACCAGTCACCATCACAAGGTTACTTAACACCAGTCACCATCACAAGGTTACTTAACACCAGTCACCATCACAAGGTTACTTAACACCAGTCACCATCACAAGGTTACTTCACAACACCAGTCACCATCACAAGGTTACTTCACACCAGTCACCATCACAAGGTTACTTCACAACACCAGTCACCATCACAAGGTTACTTCACACCAGTCACCATCACAAGGTTACTTCACAACACCAGTCACCATCACAAGGTTACTTCACAACACCAGTCACCATCACAAGGTTACTTCACAACACCAGTCACCATGATAAATATAGCTTAAACCATCGTCCTTAAGACCGTATGACTTCAAAAATGAAATTTATATAAACGATACTTGTCAACGTTGTCATCTTTATTTTTGTTCAAGATTTTACAGAAGAATAAAATTGACGCTGAGGAAGAGGGAAGCTTTTGGCCTGATTACCTTCGTATGTATCGTACTGCTGAACATCTTACTGATCACAGGTACGTACTGGTGAGTCTCTTTAAGTATGTTCCGTCTTAACGGTATCTCTTAGGATTTTAAATGAACCCTCCATCTAACGGACAATATAGAGAAATAAATGCGCTAAATCGAGGTTTGTTTAGATTTTATACCCAATTTAACGGACAACAATACAGTATTTTGGAAAACCGTCTAATCGAGGTCATTGAATGTAGATATTATAAACCTCCATCTTCTGCTTGAGGATTATATTCATCTGGCTAATGCTACATGATTTTACCTGTCATAGTGAAGACAATCTGAATCGCTACCAAAGGGAATATGCAGATGAATTGTAAAGTTTGACTGCATGGCAGATCTGTATCTTGAGCAGTCAGTAGCACCGCCCCTGGGCGTCACCGTTGCAACTCAATCTCACCTTAGCCGCGGTCACCGGAGCGGCCAGGCTCGGGCCGCTGCAACTTCCACAAGTCAATCTTAATCCCGCACAACCTGCAGGCCGGCAGCTAAGACATTACAATAGCCTCGTGCTCATCCAGTTTAGGACAAAATAATGGTAATGATCGTGATGTGGATGTTTTTTTAATTAGTTATACAGTATTCCTGGTATGTAATTTATGCATTGATTCTTATGTTGATGTTAGAATGCAATGTAAACATTGGTCAGAAGCATTATTTGTGCCTAAAGATTTAGATAAAAATTGGAGTTATATCTAGTCACCAAAACTATGTGGGTCAAATATTTATTTTTATAATTTGTTCTGCTTGGTGACCGGTAAGAAATATTCACAGAAAATAAGGGAGGAAGCAACGGACCCGTACAGAACTATAAAATGTATCCATTGCGTGTTTTTTTTTGTACTGGATATTTTTTTTTTTAAGATATGGGAAAAAAATTACTTGAAAATTATAATCTTAGGAGAAAGAATTAATGTCGTGCCATATGAAAAGTATAAAAGTAAAAATAAAACGTGGATAATCAGTATATGGGAAAGTATTAAGGCAATTGCTAAAAAAATTATGCAATTTGATTTCATTAAAATATGTGAATCAATGAAAAATACGATTAAAACAATACTGATCATTGTAACGTTTACCCACAGGTCACCTTCGACAGCAATCCAGGGAAGTTTATCCTTATGGAAGTTCTCACACCCGGAAAAACTTCATCCACTCTGGCGGACAATTTACAATGACCTACAATCAGTCATCTTTAACAATTAAGGATGTTCCTGAATCATTCAAAAGCAGTGCAGTCTTGAAAAACTCGAGTGATGATGTTACAGGTCGACAGTTTGAGGGCAATCAAACCCACAATACACAGTCTGTCCTTGTATTAACGTCAGTAGGTCGAAGTGGATCCAGTTTTCTAGGTGAATTATTGGCTTCACAAGGACACAACTTATATATTTACGAGCCCGTCAGGATACTTAAAAAATCTGACCAAAATGAGGAAAATGTAAGAGCTGAAATACTAAGAAATTTCCTTTGTAATCTAAGAGAAGATCTTCTAGGTGTGGGTAAGTCTCCCTCCGTCAGCATCAAGCATCCTTATACATATGGCAAGACGAAGGGCGATGTGGTCTTGTCGAGAATAATAGACTACTGCAAGATGGAACCTCTCAGGATTATTAAGACAATCCGTACTCGTCTTGCCTGGATGAAACCGTTACTGGATGATAAATATCTCAACCTCAAAGTGATTCATTTAGTACGTGACCCTCGAGGTTCATCTCTATCCATAACCAAAGTGGAGTGGACGTTGACTACAGAGACTATCTGCAGTAGGATCCTGGAGGTGAGGGTTTAACTAGTATTCCCATAATGATGAAAATTTCTGTTTACTGAGTGTCTCTAAATTAAATCTTGTCGTTAGCCATTCTTAGTGGTCCAGTTAAAGATTTTTTTTAGGCTTAATGATGTTATATATACCATGGCCTTACTGGGTGACTAGTGATTACAAATGGTTTTCCAGATTTTAATAATTTATTATAAAAAACTAACGTATTACAGCAAAAAACAAGCTATATTGATAAAGATAATATAAAAAAACTTTTATTTTCAAGCTACAAAAGTTCAATTGAGATCCGTTTGTAGCTGTAATACAGCCACATTTTGTACCATGATCATACTGAACTTTGGTAATATTTTAATTGATTACAATTTAAGGCATTGATTGGTAATATAAGACACTAATATTCACATTCACAGCACACAAGGCTAAGGCATAAATCAATAAGGACAAAATAATATCAATCTCCAGTGAAGAAAAACGAATCCAATTACCCACGAGTAATGGTTTATCTTATGTTTCAGGATCTTGAGCAGCGGCGAGAAATGGAACAGCTTTATCCTGACAAATATTATTTCTTAAAGTAAGTGTTGGCCATTGTCTATTCATGAGAGTAAAAATTTTTTTTCTTCAAAATGTCAATGGAATTCGGTTATTCAGCCAGAATTGTGTTTGATTTGTTTACATATCAATCTTTTAACTGGTACTGTATAATATAGATATTATCTTCAAGCCACATTCATTCATTTTGTAAAGCTATCACCATCACTTTATAAAGACAGTCGCTCAAGTGTTCCTGTTTCAGGTACGAGGACCTGTGTAGGGACCCGTACGGCAGGACCCGAGATGTCTTCAGGTTCCTCAAGAGAGACACCTCCAATGAGGCTCAACGTGGTAATGCGTCTCGTGTGGGTAAATTTCACTCAAGTGTTGGTGATTTCGATAATAACAACGAAAGATATAAAAAAAATGATGCAGGTTCTTTTAATGATCTGCCGGAGGGTGTACTAAATTACTTACAGTCTCACACACATGTTAATATACTAACAGAGAAGACCCCTTGGACCACAGTACGGGACACACGAGGCATCTACCAGAAGTGGAGGCAGAGTGTGACACAGGAACAACTGACGGATATAGAAACTCATTGTCGTGGTGTTCTTCATATTTTGAATCATAAGATTTTTGGTAGTGTTAAGATAGCGAGAAACATGTCTGTGTCTCTGAATGATGAGAACCTCTAACAGTAACGAAACAGTGAAAATATTAAAAGCTTTTAAAAATCACAAATACAAAAATACTCCTTTGAAACCTGATTCTTATTTAGTTTTCTTTTTATAATATAAGTAAAGAACTTAAATCAAATAACCCGGGCCAATCCCCCATTATCTGTTGAGCCAATCAGTGACATATCTACCTCCCCTTCCATACAGGTACAAACTCGGCCTCCTCGCTTTATTTATCATATTTTTGAAACATTTACGAATTACCTTTAGCCAAAATATTAAGAATAAGATGTGTAAGTGATATTGCTGGAAACTGATCGAAGACGACGAGAAAAAGGATTATTTTAGAGGTGAAAACTGGACCAAGTAGTGGAGAGAAGGAAGCAGAGGTGAGCAACAGGTGTTTTGACTCCTGTCTTAAACTTTCTTACATTAACCCTCAACGATATTGTTGTGTATTATGTAGTAGTATATACCTTGGTTTAATCAATTGCCTATGTAATGTACACCAGTAGCCAAATTAAACCATTGGTCTCTTGTAGATAATATATCTTATCAGCTTTTGTTATCGAATGACCTCCTTGTAAGCCGATTCCTTGACAGTCTTTCTCTGGGATCTGTCCTTTTAGTGGGTCAATTTATAGTAGTGCACCGTTCTTTGGTTATTAGAAATGTGTAAAAAACAGAAAATCACCAAAACCAATCAAACCTCACTCAACCTAACCTAACCTAATCAAATCAGGGGGGGGGGGTCCCACTAATTAGGTTAGGCTAGATTGAACGGTGCACTAATATAAAAAGAAAGTTTCGTGTGTACAAAATTTTACCCCCTTGGACATCCAAGAAAGGAGGTGGAGTAGCAATCTATGTCGGGGATAATCTGAAGTGTGAAATAAATAAGGAAATAAAAACAGCGGAATACAGAAACAATTTGGATAGAATTAATCGACGGTAGGGAAAAATTAATTCTTATGTTCTTATCCCTCCTCCCTCCTAATACCTTCTCGAACATATTTTGATGGGACAACTAACAGGTTAACATATAGGACTAACCCGCCAGGTTGCATAGCGCCGATGCGACCGTATCATCTCACGTCTAGAAATGCCTCAAATTTCACCATATCATAGTAAGTTCTTTCTGTTTAATGTAAGTACTGGGGAAGTTAGGTAGGTTTGTTTGGTTTGGTTGGTTAGGTCTGTTTTTAAAATCCACAAATGTTAAGTAGCATTTATTTTAAAATTATCCATTTTTTAACATATTTCCACAAACTACAACAGTGTCCACTATAATATTCCAATGAAAATCCATCATTTTTATAATTGTTTCAATCAATTTTGCTCGCGGAATATATATTTACCCATATATATATAATTACCTATATAATTACCCAACTAACTTAACACGAGAGTGCTCTTATCTAATAATCCAAGGAACATAACCCCCGTCTGTTTCATTGACCGTACTCCTCCTCCCCTTCCCACAAGTTCACTCATGAAACACTGCAAGTCGTTAATAACACAGGGTAGAGATATATTACTTGATAGTTATGATAAATATTAAGAAAGCTAATTTGAACATTTATAATAGATGTTCCTCTGCACAATATGTGTAAGAATGGAATAACAAATAGCGAAGCCTTATTGGTAATTAGTAATATTTGATTATTTATTATCTACCCCAGTATATAAATATGAAAATTGTAAATTCTGTATTGGAGAAATCATAATCTTGTTACTAATAAACGTAAGAGTATAAGCTCTAACGACAATCTCACAGCTGTTACGTTAATATTATTGTAACTAGTTTATTATAGTGTACTGTGAGTATATAAAAAAATAGGAACAGACAATTCAATCGATTATATTGTTGGTGGGATAATATGTATAAATATTACCTTGTCACGCACTTCAAGACCTTAGCCGTCGAAGCGTAGTCATGTACCGTCTATACTAATGACAAAACCATCAAGTTTCTCAAAGATTTTATTGCAGTAAGTGGATCCTATAGATTATGTATGGTAAGAAATACAAGTAAAAGAGAACAAAATTATACATACAGGTACGTATTATGTTTGTTAAAGAGATGCATGAAAAGAATAATTTTTTGCAACAAATAATATTACCACTCAGAGCTTTATCTTTACAGTTGAAATGACTTAAATATTAACATCGCTAAAAAAAAAGTAAAATAATAATAAAGTTATATAAATACTGTACTCAAAAAAGTAATATTTGAACAATATAATTCACCATAAACCATCCCAAACTAATATTAGAATATGCACGTTGCTGAAGTTAGTACACATAGAAGGGAGATATGTCACTATACTGTACTACATTATACCACACGTAGATTTAGACTTATAAAGCCAAATGGGCAAATCAATGACAATAACAAGGAAAATAGGGAAACTAAAATGAATTACGATGAAATACAACTATTAAATATTTATGCACAATATAACCCATTAATTCATACAGTACATATATCATCTCTGAATATAAATAGACAAACTATTATATTAGTTAATGGAGAGATGATGCTCTTACTAGTAAATAAAAAAGCAAATGTATGGATATTTAGACACTAGTTTAAGTGATATAATAACAAGTGTTCATATAATAATAAAGTTTTAGGAGCAAATACTGTAAAAATATTTAATACCAATATGACGTAACTGTTGGATGGTATTAGTTGTTACTGTACTACAATCTTGGTCAATTAATGCTGTCTTCACTGTGTGTATCAGGGAGGTGAGTCAGTGTGCCAGGGGCGTGAGTCAGAGGTGTATATGTGTTATGGGTGTGAGTCAGGAGGATGAGTCAGTGTGCCAGGGGCATGAGTCAGAGGTGTATATGTGTTATGGGTGTGGGTCAGTGTGCCAGGGGCGTGAGTCAGAGGTGTATATGTGTTATGGGTGTGAGTCAGGAGGATGAGTCAGTGTGCCAGGGGCATGAGTCAGAGGTGTATATGTGTTATGGGTGTGGGTCAGTGTGCCAGGGGCATGAGTCAGAGGTGTATATGTGTTATGGGTGTGAGTCAGGAGGATGAGTCAGTGTGCCAGGGGCGTGAGTCAGAGGTGTATATGTGTTATGGGTGTGAGTCAGGAGGATGAGTCAGTGTGCCAGGGGCGTGAGTCAACGTATTGGGTGAACCTGGACAATGAATGAGTCAAGTGTGTCAGGGGCATGAGTCAGGGGGTAAATCAGTGAGTCAGGGTGGTGAGTCATTGGAGTGAGTCAGGAGAATGCATCACAGGGGTGAGTATCATGTTAACACTGTATCGTGGTCTCATGAGGTTGGAAGACGTAGCCAACTCCATGTGTTCCTGACCCTCCGGGAGACTGAGTACCGCCGCCAACAACATCTTGGTCAGGGCGATTTTTGCCTCCATCATAGCAAACCGATTTGCTGGAGTAAAAAAAAACAAGGGATGTACAGTAAACCAAAAAAGATTCAACCCCCGCCTCCCCCAGCTTACTTTACCTGTAGATTCATTCCCCCAGCTTATATTACTTGAAGATTCATCCCACCAGCTTAACTCACTTGAAGCTTAACCGCCCTAACGTGACTTTGGTTGTTAGATTAGGTCGGGTTAGGTCAATCGTTCATCATCACTCACCTATACATATCCTGGGGCCTGTACCGAAGGGTAAGTGAGTGGCAGTGGTGGCTTTATTCTCGGGCAGGAAGCGTTCTGGTTGGAACTGCTCAGGGTCTGGCCAGTAGCGGGCATCATGGTGTAGACTCCACATCGGTATTACCACCATGTCACCAGCGCGTATAGTCACTTCCGTCCCGGGCAACCTGTAGGTAATGGGTGCATTGATAGTTGCTCCTCTAAGTTCATAAACAGAGGCATGGGATACTATTATAATGCAGCCAACACCACACATCCAGTAGTTACACATCTTGTAATGGTGGTGATGGTAAGTGTAAAGTGAAGCATCACCAGTCTAAACTACAGCTGGGTACAGCTCCTCCCTGACTTACGACCTACTCGACTTACGACCACTCGCACTTACCACCTGCCTCAGTCGCACCAAAATTTTGTCAAATTACGTATTTTCGAGTCCCAACGTCAGTACACAGAGAAAATTTTCGTTTGTAATTCACTTTAAAATGACTGGCAAGCTTAAAAGTGAGAATTTTGTGGTGCTGAGAAGAAAAAGATACACCCATTTTAGATTTTCTATGTATTATTTAAGCATTTTCGACTTACGACAATTTCAGCTTCCGACCTGGATTTGGGTCCCTTACCCCGTCGTAAGTCGGGGAGGAGCGATATACAGTACGTTCACTTATACAAGTTCTTACATCACAGCTGCCAGGGTCATGTTCAGGGGTAGTGTAGGCGAGCCATCACATATCTCCTGTCACTGTCATGTCAATGCACATACAGTATATAGATATACAATACTGTATATACATATATAATTAATGGTAGAGGATGTATCAAAATGCTCCCCTTGGCTAGGCATATAAAACATAATTTCACCATTCCCCGAAAAATTCATGATAACTTTTTTATTCTCTCAGGTAAAAACTAATTTTATCATCACACAAATGTTGTATACTGTAGAGGATTTATCTTATCCTAACCTCCTCTCTGCCATATACAGTACATCCTCTACCTCAGGTATGGGCTGTCCGAACCATGTGTTTGCACAGCCTGTTCTATTTAATGTGTCCCGCGGTGCAGTAGATGCAGCCAGTTTATGGTGAGTAAAGCAATATTTATTTAAAGAATAATATTCACACACAATTCGTTACTGTTTCATCACCTAAGAGTAAGAAACTACAAAAATGTAACTGTGAAATAAGTATATACTGTATAGTCAACAATATAAACATTTTAACTTGTGTGAGTTTACAGGCCAAGATCAGCACGGTCTGTTTGGTGGATTAGCTGCTATATGGCAGTGGGTCACTTGGGAATTAACTAAGGTCACGGGCAGTGGTCCCACAGGATTTAAATAATTAAGTACTTCCAGAATAACACCAAAATCGCACCACGGAAACCCATAGTTGGCAAGTAATTAGCATTGAAATAATGTAATTAAAATTTTCCAAGCATCATTATGACCACTAATTACCCCACAATCGAATCGTGGACCATAGATTCAGAATCAGCATGCTCAGGAGAGAGAGAGAGAGAAAAGTGTGCCTATAGGTTGTTTCATTGTAGTTCCCCATATGCCAAGATTAACATTGGCATTATTCTGGTGGGTGTGTCTCATAAGTAAGAAAAATGCTGTAACTGTAGGAAAAATCAACGTATTCACAGACTGCATCACTCATCTTCTGGTAAATGTCAAGAAACATTAACATATTACTTAAGAATTATGATGATGGATTTGTATCATAGTGCTGCCCATGATTGAGGTAAGGTTGCCCATGCCTGCTCTACTTCATGATATCCAAATACACATACCACAAAATGCGTTACTTGACACTGTTTCCCACAGGTGTGTGTGTGTGTGTGTTTTACTGTAAATAAAACATACCGATAATCCTTGGTACAGCGGCGCTCAATAGTAGGCACTGGTGGATACAACCTGAGCGCCTCTGAAGCCAAAGACAAACATAACGCGTCATATTTCAGTTAGATATTCAGTAAAATCATTATTCAAGTTTATATAAAGTGAGGATGTATATAAACTATGTAGATATAGTGCAGATATCCAATTATACTGTACATAATGTAACCTAACTATACATAATATTACTCACCCATTATGCAAGCCTCCAAAAACTTAGCATCCATAATAACTTGGTTTGTTACGTCACCATGAACCTGAACTAGATCTTGCAGCTCCCGGCGGAGACGTTGTTGGTGTGTTGGGTTCTTGGCCAAGAGGAAGCTGGTGAAGGTGAGGGTGCTGGCCATAGTGTCGTAACCAGCCAGGAGGAACAACACGCTCTGGGCTATGATGGTGTCGTCATCCAGTACTGAGACACATCATTATAGGTAAGTAAGAAATTTATTTTATACCATATAAACAATATATAACAGGGTGTCTCAAAGAATTGGTGGTGTGAATGTTTGTCTGACACATGAGGCAGGTTAGGTTTGATATCCCCATTCATGACTCATTCACAAGGTACTCCAGACATGACTTACCACACTTTGAGGGAGCTTGGGTGTGGTTGTTCGTCAGGGCGGTGTGGTCGTTGTTCACGGTGCTGTGGTTGTTCTTGATAAAAGAGTCTTCAGCAACTCGGGCCTCGATCAGTAGGTCTAGGAAATCTCCGCGTCTCTGCCCTTCCCGCCTCAGCTGTATGGCTTTCTCTGCCACACTCTCGAAGAAGAGAAACTCAGGTTGGTCTTTGTTAAGTCCTAGAGCATGACTTAAAGTTGGAACACTTCTTGTAATAGCATGTTTCATGAGGTTAGTAAGTGAAAAAGCAAAGATATTATTTGCTTGTTTAGCGAAATTTATGTTTTTGTCGCTTTTAGAATCACAGTCAATACCAAAAGCACAGGAAGCTATCGTCTCGATAGTAAAACTTCCAAAGTTGTATTTCATGTCAGCATAAGATTTCTCAGCACATTCTTTGAGCGAAGAGGAGACAAGAGCATCAGCCTTGTCACAGATGAGAGGGAACATCCCACGCATTTTACCAGAGGTGAACGTCGGCGTCATCACGGATCGTAGTGCTTTCCACTCGCTGCCCATCTTGTTGAATAGCATTTTATTTACAACGCTATTTTTGCGAAAGGTCCCAATATCCCGACGATTAACAAAATGTTCAAAATCCTTAACGCAAATCAGTTTAATGAGATGTGGGTCGCTGATAAACAGGACAGGAGTATGCATTTCATAAAGTCCACAGAATTTGTCTCCACCATACTTGCGATAAACCTGTAACAACAGTAATAAGAGTTGGTCAGTCTCAGCAACCTATACAGTATAATGTTTGTATACAGGTCACATGAACATTACACCCGCCACGTTTATCTCACCTCATGATGAAAACATTTAACGTTAACTACCTGGGGGTTAGGTTAGGTTAAATAGGGAGTCAGTAACAAAGCAAGATAAAAAACGAGAGAATGACAAGCTAAGATAAGAGAGGGAACAACTAAAATGATCACTAACCTCCCAGAAGTAAACCCATTTCGATTGTGTGAGAGAAAAGAGTCTGTGCATGTGGCCAAGGAAGGGAAGGTATGGTGGGGTGGACACTCCTCGGGCTGACCAATAGTTATGCCGCTTCCTGGTGTAGGCCCACGACCCCAACACGCCTACCATCAGTAACATCCATACCTCCACGCCCATCGCCAGTAACAACCACGACCCCAGCACGCCCACCACCAGTATTAACCACGCCTCCACGCCCATCCTGTAATGAAAATAGAAAAGATGGTAAATGGTGTAGTGGATATACAGTAATATTGTAACACGACAAAATAATACGGTAACACATAAGGTAATAACGCAGTAGCATAAGATACATCCTAACTGTAGCATACTTTTAATAGGGTCTATCTTATGACTGACGGAACCTCTCCCTACCTCAGCTAACCTCGACCCAGCGGCAGCAGCAGCAACACTGCCTTTTTCGTGAATAGTTTCACCATGCAGTCCTCTTTAACCCCCCACACACACACACACACACACCATCTATCTCGTCTCCAAACATCATGCTACCACCTCACCGCTACCACTCAACAAAGGCAATGACGTTATATTTGACAATCTGAATATAAATTATAACCAAATAGGATATATCAGCATTCGTAAATAAGAGGGAGGATTACATAACACTATAGTCCGGCCATTATTAAGAAGTTATCTCACACCGTTCAGAACCTTGCAATGTGTTGTGGGTCGTTCGACCTTTGCCCGAGAAAAAAAAAAGAAGGCCTCAGCAGTCTCCTCATACCCTGTTGTTACATAAGTCAGATCATTATACATTTTATAGAATCTACAAATCTAACACCTTCTGTCTATAACATATACGATGTTTCTCTCTCCCTTAACATGCTTACACCTCTATTAAAGCCTATGGTAACCAGTTAATAATCCCACGTGTCTCTCCTTATCAGCTCTGTGGTTGTGGTCTATTTTTTTGAGACTCCCGGAACTTTTAACATGATTAGGTGATAAAGTGTTGAGTGTTTTTTGAAGTCCTTGATATGATTGTAGATATTCTCGACACGTGTCAAATAAAACGCATATAAAGGTCACCTTGATAATAATGTCGAGTATTCAACTGTAATGGTCCAAACACTTCATAAGACATTCTATACTGTTCACTAACACTCCAGTTAGATCATACATTGAATAAACACAAGCATATAGAGATCCATTACGATAAAGTTAGATCATATTTTATTACAGTAAATGACACAACTATTGGATTCACCTTCTTGCCATACACTAGTGACTAGATCAGTGCTTTTCAACCTTTTTCATGGTGGGTCACCCTTGGGAAGCTCTTCCATGAACTGGGTCACCCCATTATGAAGTGTACCATAATTTTTATTTATTTTTATTTTTTTTTTTTTTTAAGGGCATTAGCCCACCCGGGCACAGGTCATTTTTAATGACCCACATCAAGGCCTGGGGGGCGAAAATATAATAAAATAAAATAATAATAATAATTATGATGATGAATGATGATGATGATAATGGTAATAATAATAATGATAATAATAATAATAATAATAGTAATAAAATTAATACAAATATATTAAATAAATAACAATTATAATAAAAAAAAAATAATAACAACAATAAAATTAATTACAATATTTAAAAATAAATAACAATTATAATAAACGAAAATAATAAGAATAATAAAAATTTATAAAAATTATAAATAATAATAATAATAAAAACACCCCCTGTAATAATATTGAGCCATGAATAAATACAAAAACAAAAAATTAAAATATCAATAGTGAGAAATGATACATGTATGTTGTGTTGTCAAAGTAAGAGAAACAATTGAGACCCTGCAGTTGTGTGTAAATGAGGCAGAAAGTCAGATCAGCAACCTGGGATTGGTCATAATTTTTGTGATGGCATATGGCAGCAGGGTCTACCATTAGACAACAACATGTTACACTTAGGCAACAGAACACAAGAATACAGTCATAACAGAGAGACATAGTACATATTGACCATTTCCCCCTCCTTAAATGCAAACACTCGCATCTTCCTGAGAACAATGAACAGACGTCGTCCAGTACTCCAGGAAACCAGCAGTTATTTATTTATTTATTATTAATATTTGTTTAATGTACGAAACTTTTATGACAATACTATTTCAAACTACAGTTGGGATTTATTTATTTTTTTATTTTTTAGTGTTTTTTTTTTCAAAACACATTAGGTACTTAAAAGGGGAAAACAGTTTGAATGAGAAGGTCACAAGCTTCACCAGTGACGATGAACCCAGGCCAAATTTTATTTAATTTTCAGGAAATCATAAACACAAACAGAAAATAATGTTTTACAATTTACTGACCATCAAACCTAAAACTTTCTGAATTATAAAAACTAATGACTAACATCTGCAGCTATAGTAGAGACTTCTTTGGCACATAACGGGAGTTACTAATGGCGAGCTTATATTGCGATAGGACATGTATTATTCCAGACTTATATATACAGCCAGATCACCCCTAGTAGTCACCCCAGCCACTTGGATCACCCCTGGGTCACCTCAGCCTATCAGGTCACCCCTGGACCTAGCCTGGGTCACCCCGGTTGAAAAGCACTGCACTAGACAACTCTGATTCCGTCCTTCATATACAGCTACTCCTCGACTTACGACCACCCGGACATACGACCGCCTCGGTCGTACCCAAAAAATTTTAAATTACGTATTTTGAGTCCCAACGTTAGTGATTGCACTGTGTACTGACAAAATTTTTGTTTGTAATTCCCTTTAAAATGGCTGGCAAGCTTAAAAGTGAGAGTTTTGTGGTGCTGAGAAGAAAAACAGACACGCATTTTAGATTTTCTATGTATTATTTAAGCATTTTCGACTTACGACCTGGATTTGGGTCCCTAACCCCGTCGTAAGTCGGGGGGAGACTGTACACAGTATCCCACTTAAACAAAATTCTGGGCCCACAAGTTGTCTATTGGATTATAAATATCAGTGCAAAAGATGTTTATAGCAACGGATAATGTAATTTTTAACGAGGGGATTTTTGGGGAGGATGAACTGGGAAGATGGTGAGTACTACTGTACAATATACCCATTGGGAAAAACAAAAAAAAAATAATAAAAACATCAAACAATTCCTTAATATACCCTGTGTTAACTTTGCTGTTTGAAATGTTGTCTGAGTGCCTGGCTTCACAACTGCAGGGATAGATCTGTATAAACTCCTGTGCTGGCCGTAATCTACACACAACTATTGGTCTGATGCAACTACTCCTGACTGAAGGCCAGCCTGAACACTGATGGGTTTTAACCAAGGTTAAAGGTTGCCTATCTATCACTTTCCTTCCATGTACAGTATGCATTATTTTTCTCTAGACATCTTATCTCTCTGTAAACACTTGTGGCAGCTTTATCATACACAGAATAATTATTAACCCCCCCCCCTCTTCACCGCACAGTGCCCTGCTTGTATTTACGGTTTTCTCTATACTAATGTAAGGGTTTTGTGTGGCCACGGGTATATTAGCTAGAATGACGTATATATTCGAAGCCTGACTGATTATAATGATTATAATTCCTTTATTAAATTATAAATGTAACTCGAGGATAAATGATAAACAGGGATATTAGGGAACTTTTAATTCACCTGGTGGCACCCCCATGGGCACTCCCAGGGATAGCGGTACCCCAGGGACCATCCCAGGGGTGGTGGCATTCCCAGTGGCCCACTCAGGGGGGGGCAGTACTCCCAGGGGCTCTCCAAGGGGTACTAGCACTACCAGGGGACCACTCAGGGGCGGCGGCGCCCTCAGGGACACTCCCAGTGGCGACGGAACCCCCAGGGACCTTCCCAGGGATGGCAACAACCACAGGGACCTTCCCAGAGATGGCAACTCCCCCAAGGACCCTCCCACAGGCGGTGGTGCCCTCAGGGGCGGCGACCCCTCCAGGGGCCCTCGCAAGGATGGTGGCCCTGCCAGAGGTGGTTGCATTTCCAGGGTCCCACTCAGGAGCGGTAGCACCCCAGAGAGCCCTCCCAGGGGTGGTGGCGCCACCATGGGTGGTTTCTTTTAAAATGAAAATTTTAATTTTTTTCTAAAAATGAAGGTCAGATTTGAGTAAAACACCAAGAATAACCTATTCTCATACCAAAGGAGCCAACCAACTAACCTAACTTAGGTAACTAAAAAAAAAGTGATTTGCCCCAAAGATAAATGTCAGATTCATATAAAACAGCAAGAAAACTAGCGAAAAAACATATATTTCATGTGAGAAAAGGTGATGGGTGGTTAACTAAAAATGACCCAGGTTTTCAACCCACAATGGGACCTTCTGGCAAAAAAATAAGAGTAAAAAGAAAATAAGAATAAAAGAGAAAAAGACTATAATCTACACCACGGAGATGCTGAAAACCATTTTTTTTTGAAGTGAGACAGATTGTAAGAGTATGGAAACACAGAAGAAGGCAGAGCATTCCACAGTTTGGCTGTGTGAGGAAAGAAGGAGCTACTACTGTATAACTGGTTATTATAGTGTGACCTGCATCCACAGAGAAAAGGTGGGCACCGTGGGCAGACATGTGTTAAGAGCCCATGGCCTTGCCGGTGGTACACAGGATGCCAAATACACCGAACATTGCCCGTTAAAGTACCTGTAAAACAGAGAGAGTGAAGCAACATTGTGGTGAAGAGGAAGGGAGGAAAGATCATCAACTAAAGGAGGAGAGTTAATAAGACAAAATGCCTTTGATTCTACCCTATCTAACAGTTGGACAGAAGAAGAGCCACCCCAGATATGAGAGCAGTACTCCAAGTTAGGACAAATGAATCCCTTATATACTTGAAGCAACTGCTCAGGAGTGAAGTAGCTACAGCATCTGTACAGCATTCCCAGCTTTTGGGAGGCAGCTTTAGCAATGTTGTGGATGTGTGGCTTCCATGACATATGGTGAGGCCTAGCATACTGGATCTATCTGAAATCACCTGGTAGAAGCACAAGTTGGTCAATGATTCCCAACATGGCTTCACAAGTGGACATTCATGTCAGACTATATCTATTACTAACATTCTTTTCAGCTGTTTTCGAACTCACGAAAGACTCATACGAAAAGTGAAGGCTCATAGAATTGGAGGAAATACAGTACAGTAGTACCCTGATTTACGCGGTCAATTGAACCCACGGGGTACCGCGGAAAGTGAACAACACAACATATGGGATTAATCCCAATAGAGACTGGCCCGACCCCCAAACTCCACTTTTTCAGACACAATACCTATGTTGTAGTAAAAATAACATCTTAATTTTATGATGGTAAGCACACACAATTAATATTTAAGAGAAATACAGTTGCCTGGTGCAACTCTGTTTCATCCTGAAATCCCTCAAAATCATGGGCTACTGATGGCCACAGTGCTTTTCATGAAGAATTGAGGGTTCTAGTGGAGACTTCTTGCCATGAAGACACAATCAATTTTACAGCCTCCAGGATGTTAAACTGTGTCTTACAGAACTGTGCCAGTGTTAGTTCAGGATCAGTGGAAGTTGCCTGATGACACCTCCTGAAAATTTTCATGTACAGCTTCTTAAAGTTGCTGATCACATTCTGGTCCATTGGCTGTATGATTGATGTAGTGTTGGGAGGCAAAAACAACACTTTGACAAAGTCAAATTGAGACTCCAAAGTTCTGGCAAGTTGAGGGTCATGACCTTTAAAGGGAGTTTATTGGTGGTTAGGTAACTCTTCACAGAAGGGCAAAACACCTCAACAGCCCATTCATTAAAGAGCTGTCTTGTTACCCATGCTTTACGGTTGGATTTCCAATAAACTCCAAGCCGTCCTCTTACCACTTTTTGTTGCTTGAACACCCTGGGGTTCTCAGAGTGGTAGACAAGCATAGGCTTCAGTCGGAAATCCCCTGAAGCATTGGCACCAAGCAATAGAGTCAGACGGTCTTTCATGGGTTTATGCCCAGGTAAAGAGGCTTCATCTCTGGTGATGAATGTTCTTTTGGGCATCTTTTTCCAGAACAGCCCAGTTTCGTCCACATTGAACACTTGTTGTGGAAGATAATTTTCTGTATCCACCAGTTCTTTAAATTCCACTAAAAACTTTGCTGCCCCTTCCTTATCAGCACTGGCAGCCTCACCATGCCTAACACTAAATATGTCACTTCTTTTCTTAAATTTTTTTAACCAGCCCTTGCTGGCCCTAAAATCTTCAAGGTCTGTGCCTGAAGAACCAGGTTGATTTACCTTTAAATGTTCGGATATTTCCCTGGCTCTTTCACAAATAAATTCAGTAGAAACTGAATCACCTTTCATCTGTTTTTCCCTAATCCAGATGAGAAGTAACCTCACTGTTTCTGCTATTAGGGATCTACCTTTGAACACTCTGGTAGACTTGTCTCTCACTTTCACTTCCTTGAATTTGTCGTTCTGTGCAAGAATTGTCGATACAGTTGATGTCGACATGCCATATTCTTTGCTTAGCACATTTGTTCTAATGCCTTCTTCATGTTTTCTAATTATTTCCTGTTTCATCTGAATTTAAATCACTTTTCTAGATTTCTTGGGACCCATGCTGGATTCAAAAACAATTTCAACACGTGTTATTTTAAGTTCAATTGCTGTAAATAAAGAATATTTTCTTTAAATTAACACTGCACTGCTCTATATATCATCAATATGTAAAATAAATTTCAAAATGATCAATAATTTGACTGAAAACACAGAAAAAAAGCATTTATGTTGAAGTGAGTCTGAAGCAACATGTTACCTCCACTGAAAAGACACAGAGACTAACTCCTGTATGGTGTGTTGACAGGCTGTTTGGCGCGCATAAAACTAGTTTCCTGTACTTTAATTTTGTTCAATAATTGTTAAAATGACTAAAAAATTTAATATTAAACTTTTAAAGTGATTGAATAGTACAACCTTCTTGATATTTACTAAAATGGTAAGGAATTTAAGCCCTAGAACCGATTACTGTATTGGCGGACTAATACGACAACTGGTGTGCAAGCGAAAACATGATGAGGGCCGCTCGTAAGGAATTCGTTAATCGAGGGAATGCTCGTTAACCGAAGTTAAGAATCTTATGGAAGGTAATTCGTTAACCGAAATCTCGTTAACCAAGGCGCTCGTTAACCGAGGGATCACTGTGCTGTACAGTATTCTAAATTGGATTAGGGCGTGGTTACAGGACAGGAAACAGTGAATAAGCATTAACGGCACTAAATCCGATTAGGGTAATGGCACTAGTGGAGTACCCCATGGCTCAGTACTTGGACCATTACTATTTATTATATACGTAAATGACATAGATATAGACAGCAACATAGTAAATTTACTGATGACACTAAAATAGGGTGTGTAATTAAATCTGACGAGGACTCCGTAAAAGTACAGGAAGATAAAAAAAATTGAATGGTCTGAAAAATAGCAGATGAAATTTAATGTGGACAAATGTAAAGTACTTAGTCTAGGAGATGTAAACAGAGAAACCAGATATCAGTAGAGTGAGGGGCGATATGATCGAGGTGTATAAATGGAAGTCATGGCTAAACAAAGGTGATATAACAAAGGTACTCAAACTATCCAACCAGGAGCGAACTCGTAGCAATGGTTTTAAATTACTGTTTACAAATTTAGACTTAAGTGTGAGATACGTAAACATTGGTTTGGAAATAGAGTAGTGGATGAGTGGAACAAGTTACCAAACATCATCATTAACTAAAATACATACTCTGTTGTACTGTACTCAACTGTACTGTACTCTACTGTACTCAACTGTACTATACTCTACTGTATTGCACTCAACTGTACTTAACTGTACTGTATTCTACTAAACTGTACTCAACTGTACTGTACCACTCACTGTGTGTGTGTCCCCTGGGAAGCGTTTGTTTTAATCACCCAATAGGATAAAACTACAGAAAAACAATTTTATAGACAAAAATTTAATTTCCTTATTGCTTTTTGTAATCATGTTCAGGTTAAAAATAAGTTGTCATCAAAGTATATAATACAGTATTTGTTGAGAGGTATATACTGTACTGCACTGGTAATTGTTGTAGACTAGTATCACCAGTTAAATGCCTATCATCTTCAGCATAATGATAATTGTATTAAATTTTTTCTTGCAGGTTGTGTGTTATATAATGTATAAAGGCAGACTGTAAGTGTTTTGTGAACTAAAGTGTAAGGAGTCATTATGGAGCAAAATGGTGAAGATTCTCATTCAAGTAGTGATGATTATGAGACTGCTGTTGGTAAGTAATGTTATATTTCTTAATGTAACTCTTGTAGGATATCAAGGTATTTATCATAATGTTAGATCAGGATGTGAATAATCAAATAATGCTTTTAGGTTGTTACTGCATATTGTTGTCTCACACTATCCCTCACGGGCAGTTACAATTGTGGAATCCTCTTTAACTTGTACAGTACTCTGTAGGTAATATATTTTATAGACTTAAGGTAATACCATCTGAGTCTTGGGGCCAAGGGTTCCTCAACTGTCATGACTAATACAGCAATTTTCTGGGTTATTGTAAAATTGGGTAACAGGATAAATAAAATAATGGTGTGTGAAGGATAATGTTTGATAAAATGAGTGTGAAGTAAAGGGAGAGGGTTACACTAGGAGCCTTCAGTGAGACAGAGGAGAACCTTTCAACTCCTCTTGTTATTGTACTAGATCAGGTTAGTAACAGTACTTCAGTCACCGAGATACCGACCTTTTGTTAACTCATTGCAGAAATAACTCCACTACAGTCACAGAACAATGCCAAGGAGGACACTGTGCCCAGGGGGAAGGAACAATGGCAGAATCTATTGGCCTTTTGGATATTGGGTCTGACCAATAACTTTGGCTATGTGGTTATGTTGTCTGCAGCACATGACATACTCTCTCATGATTTTACTCAGGATAATGGGAATGTAAGTTTTGTGATTCTTTTTATATTTTTAATTCACTTTCTACAGACAAGTAACACAGAAACTACATTTTGTATTTGTAGACCAGAAACTTGTATTACCTTATGCTTATTAAACTTTTACCCTGCATCTACATTTTTTTTTATTATGGAAAGTCTCTGATTCTCTGATCTCTTTACTTGTACAGTGGTCCCTCGGTTAACGAGCACAATTCGTTCCAGAAGGTTGCTCGTTAACCGAAAAATTCATTAACCGAAACTATTGTTTCAATGGGTTTTTGGGTAATTGGTTCCAGCTCACCGAAAATTACATACAAACTAAAAATAAATGCAGTAAAGTACACTTACTTTGAGGTGTGCATGTAGAAGGCTCCTGGATGATGATGATGGGAATTAGAATGGAGGTGGAGGAGAAGGGAGAAGAGATGGCATGGGGTGGAAGAGAAGTCACCCCATGCTGCCATTTCACCCATAAAATTTTAGTTCACTTGGTGTAATTCAAGATTATTTTCTTTAAATCAACACTGCACTGCGCTATATATTATCAATATGTAAAATATATCTCAAAATGACCATGAATTTGACTGGAAACAGAAAAAAAGCATTTATGTTGAAGAGAGTCTGAAGCAAGATGTTACCTCCACTGAAAAGACAGAGACTGACGCCTGTATGGTGTGTTGACAGGCTGTTTGGCGTGCTAAAAACTAGCTTCCTATACTTCAATTATGTTAAATAATTGTTAAAATGACTAAAAAATTTAATATAAGACTTAAAATTATTGAATAGTACAAACTTCTTGATATTGACTAAAATAGTAAGGAATTTAAGCCCTAGAACCGATTACTGTATTGGCGGACTAATACGACAGCTGGTGTGCAAGCGAAAACATGTTGAGGGGCGCTCGCAAGGAATTCGTTAATCGAGGGAATGCTCGTTAACTGAAGTTAAGAATCTTATGGATGGTAATTTGTTAACCGAAATTTCGTTAACCGAGGCGCTCGTTAACCGAGGGATCACTGTAAAGCTTTAAGTCCTTACTAATGTATCCTAATTATGAATATTGCTAGATATACAACACAGTTTATGTACACTTTCCCTGAAGATATTGATGTAAAGTTATCTGAAGAATTTGATGTATGGAGATATTTATGTACACTTTGGTTGAAGTTAGTAGAATTTTTAGCTAAGGAAGTATGATGGGCAGATGCAATACAGTATTGTGTTATAATAAGATTAAGTTGAGCAGTTAGTTGGTGCATCGAGTAATTTTGTTGTTCTTCACAGATGCTGAGTGTGTCACAGGTTTAAGGTGATTAACTCCATACCTTTATTTTTATGTACCTGTACAGTCATGAACACACCTGAGACCCTGAACTATTGTAATCATCCCTTGAGTTACTTGTTTAGCTACAGGTGATACTATTATCTCATTAAAGTTTGCTACAGTTTCATACAAGGTTGTGAAGGAGTTTTGTTTTTGATTGTACAATTTACGTGAAGTGACTTGTAGCATTTTAGTTTCATGTTTCTTATAGAATTAAACCCATTGTTTACTTCAAAGTACTGTACATTGTTTATGATTAATGATAGTTTCTTTTTAGTATTAAGTGGCATGTAATAATTTTCTTTTGATTACACTTAATCTTACTAAGCAGTGATGATTATTTTCTTCTACTGTAATTTTCCTAAAACAACTTAAAAACTGATTTTTACATTGTTGCTTTGTACAATATTGTACGTGTCTACAGTTTTTGTGTCTATGGTCAATATTCAACATACAGTACAGTAGTACTTGGCCCACCACTGGGATTATGGTTTCCTGTGGTTGGCGAAGGACTCTACTGTATGAGAGAGAGCATGAAAAATATTAAGTGACTTTCATTGTACTTGACAATATCTTGTATCTACAGCAGTCATCGTGGTCCACCGCCAACACCACCACCAACCCTCGTGACTGTAATACAGTTAGCACCGGCGCTGTACTACTGGCTGACATCGTCCCTGCTCTTGTTATCAAAATGTTTGCACCATTCATGTGCTCATATATTCAGTAAGAATCTTATGCTTCTTTATCTTCTTACAACTTGTGGGCAATACTGTACTCTGCTGACTAAGTACTGTACAGAAAAACCCTCTTAATCAAGAGTAATTGGGGCAGAATCCAGTCCTCATTAAGTGAATTTCTGCATAAAGCTTTTTCCGGAAGGGGTTTATTTAATCCGGATAAAAAGAGTCTGGATTAAGAGGTTTTTACCATACTTACTAATATTTCATTCTACAATTAGCTGGTGTGGTGATACGTGGTGCTTGTAGTATCATTTATAGAGTTGATGAAGAGAGGATACAGCAGTGTGCTTGTATCTCTTAAGTTGTGTCCTGGGTTTAATCCCTGGCCTCTACTTAACATGGCAGGTTTCCTCCAGGTATTACAGTTTCCCCTGTACTGTATTAACACTGGACAATAAAGGTCATAACAAAGAACAGACCAACTGATGACTGGTGAAACTATAAATGAATAAATAAACATATAAATGATAGAAAGATGCCAGAGGGTAAAATAACAAAGAAGATATGTAAGAGGTGTTAGACAGTGTGACTACAGTACATTCTGGGGGGGGGGTGGAACAGTACAGTACTGCATGGGGGACATGATGAGGGGAATAAAGAGGACAAAGCAGCTCTGTAGTTATTGATTAACCCAGAGGCTTTTCTATTTGGGCCACATAAGAGAGGAGCTTCACATGGGAGTGAGGAATCAGTCCAGGGTTGGAAAAAATCATGATTTAAAAAAAAATTAATTTATTTGATTTAAATCGGATTTTTTTATTTAAATTGATTTTTTTTTACTAATTGCAATAAAATAATATTTTTAAACCATAAAAACAGTATTTTTCAACCAAAGCTTATTCAGGATAATAAACAGAAAATTGGCATTAAGATATTTATGCAGTAGATGTACCAATGGCATTTAACACAATAATATTCTTTTTGTAAAATAAAAGAAAACTGGTAACATATCTTACATTTGAGTGCACAAATCCAAACATAATAATGAAATTTTACTATAAATACTCTTATAGGATTACAGTGTTTCAAAAATTAATAACTTAACTTCTTCAAGTCAACAGAATAATATTCTCATTTTGTAAAAAAAATAATACTGGTAACAAGTTTATTTTCTTACATTTGTAGGATTATAGTGTATTAAGAATTACCGGTAATAACTTCAAGTCAACACAATATTCTCATTCTGTAAACAACAAAAATATTCCAAAACATTTAAATTAGCTTAGTTGAACATTGAAATGCTTATGTACTGTGACAAGCCTCGATGCCTTTTCCTGTCCTAGGCGATTTCTTACCTTTGAGTGTACAAATCCATATGTGGAAAAAATTCTCTCAACCCCTGCTGATGATGCAACAGCTGTAAATAATTGTCTAGGAACATCCATTACATTTTCTGTCATATCATTGGCAAAATACTGCCACCAAGCAAGGGGTGAGAGAGATTTTACAACATCTTTACCAAAATAGACCTCTTTAAATGGTGCACTTCTTCCATGGAAGGACATTAATGTTGAAAGGAAATGTGGAAAAGACTTGCACACATACTGTTCTGCAGTGTCTTGCTGCTCAGGAGTCAGATGTCTGCCCTGATACCTTGGATCTATCACATTAGCTAGAAAATGGGCAGGTGTCAATGCTACTTTGATTCTTTTTTCAAAATTATCCATATCCTTCTTATCTGTTAAATACTCCTTAATATCAGTTTTCAGTTTTACCCAGATTTCTACAGCATCACTTAATAGGGTATGTTCTCTCTGGACACAGTCCAATGCCACAGCAATAGGCTTAAGTTTCTCTAAATAGTCTTCTGCAGTTCTTTTTAATGCCTAATCATTAACTTTCCTTTCAATTTTCTTATCAATGTCTTCATTATTTTCTTTGCACACTTTGACAAGGGTCTCCCAGTTCTTTAAATATGATTCAATAGAATCTGTCACTGTGTTCCATCGTGTGTCTGATGGCATTACTAGCATTGTTCTTCCTGCTCTTCTATACAAAGATCCTGGGATGTGATGATTTCTGAAGTACTTAATGATTTCAGTAATGTGCTCCTTAATGTTCTTGATTTGCAGGTCTTGTGAAAGCAAATTTAACATGTGTGCAGAGCAACCATATGTTATAATGGATTTATCTTGTCCGAATTCACTTCTCATTTTTGCCATATTAACAGCATTATCTGTTACACAGCTTCTTACTGTGCATCCAAATTTGTCTTCACACTTTTTTGTAGCACATTCAGCTAATTTCAACAGATAGTCAGCTGTGTCTTGATTCTGTGTCTATAGAGTCAACAAGATAAATACGGTTGTCCGCTGTTAAAGTTATACATACTATAGGCTCATTATGGACATTACTCCATCCATCCATGGCCATGCAAACTGTTTTCCCACTAAGTTCTTCTGAATAATTCTTAATCACTGAATCGTAGGCTTGATCCAAAAGAGACCCTCCAATTTGATGTCTATTAGGTGGAACATATCCTGGTCTTAGCATTTTAATCATCTTGATAAACTCTTTGTGCTCCACTGTTCTGAAGGGTCAATTTGTTGCATATATATAATTAGCAACTTGCTGATCCAAAGTGACTTTTTCAGACTTAGTAGTTTTTATCACAAAACCAGTTATGCTTCTTTGATCAGAAATAATAATTATGTTGTTTAAAAAGAACATACTAAGTGATATAAATAGAATATCTGAATATGTATAGCCTAGTGCCTACAGCCTGTTCACTCTAGCTTTGCAAAAATTTACAGCCCCTTGCTCCTTATTGACTGATATATAATGCCGGGAGAAGAGAATACTACAGTTCTTCTGAATTTCAATAGTATTTATTATCTTAGTTAACAATATATTTCATGTAAATATATACAATAATAATGAGACCTTATGATGAAAGTTACGCAAAACTGGAGAGAACAGACTATAGTACAGTACATAATTATGTAAATCCAAATAATGTTATTAGCCTGCTCCATTGCATATACTTTTCATTCATGTAGAATAAAAAGAGAAAACAGTTATTAGTAAAAAAATCATTTTGATTTAAATCGATTTAAATCGTGTGATTTAAATCATTTGATTTAAATCATAACAACCCTGAATCACAGATGTGATTTAAGATGTAGCATCAAAACACATTTGTATTGAGACACCAGTTAATTTCTTGTTAAGTAATAGCATTGCATGATTGATGACAGCACAGCATAGAGGGAGTACTATCAGACTTGTTTTGTGTATAGTTTTAATGCAAATACCAAAGATTATAGATGTACTATATTGACTGACACGTCACTAATCCACCTGTATAGTTTGCGTGTGAGTGCAGTGGTTGTGTTGTGTTCCTGTTCGTTTGCCATAGTGGGGGCAGCAACCAGCAGGACCATGGCAATAGTCGGTGTTGTCTTCGCCTCCGCTGCGTCTGGTCTCGGAGAAACTTCCTTCCTGCAGTACGCGGCTAACTTTCACAGGTAAGTAAAGCTCACTTTATCTGTCTTGTGCTTTTATACTCAATTGTTACTCTTAAGAGGAGTTGAAAAGTGTAAAAAGTTAGGTAGTACTATGCGTATGTATATTAAAATTGTAAGGCTCGGGTACCTATATGCTGTATAGTAATCTCTCCATTAGCTGGAATAATTGTTTCAGAGCGGTTCTGGTTTGAGAGATTTCTTGGTATTGAGACCAATACCCAGTTGGACAGACTAAAAGCTGTATTTATGCAAATACAATAACCACTGGCTGCTGTGTTCTCCATTAATTTTTTCTTTTGTCTTTTTAAGGAATGTGTTGTCAACATGGTCTTCAGGAACAGGAGGAGCAGGAGTGTTTGGTGCGCTGGCTTATGCTGTGCTCACATCTGTGGGACTCACCCCCCGCAACTCTTTACTCTCTATGTTGCTTGTGCCGATTGCTATGGCTCTCGGGTAACCTACATTCTGTACTGTACCTAACTTCCAGAGTTTAAGGAAATTAATGTTTATGTAAGATAAGTGATGATGTGTCATGCTTCAGCTAGAGGCAACAGATCATTTTGGGTTAGTTTGTTCTTTATGTCTTATCTTTTATGTACAGTATAGAAGTAGATGGTGGAAACTGTATGATGAATGAGATAACAGTGGGGGTTTTGGGGGGAGGCGCCCCCCCCCTCCCCCGAATTTTTTTTAAATCGGACCAATATGATGGGCATTTGCACTTGATATTAAGAGGCATTCTGAGGTCAATAGTAATTACTTTTTACTATACAAAAGTGCCTTAGTACAATACTGTATTAAAGAAAAAGTATTGGAATTTTCTGAAGAATAGGGGGGTCCGGACACCCCCCTGGATCCGCCCTCGGATAAGGGGGATCAGTTGTAGAGGACAGAGGCAGTTGAGGGAACAAATAAGAGAGAAATACTGTGTGTATTACTTTCTACACGACTGGTTGGAGCGTCATCATTTAGTTATATAACATAATATTTTATGGTTTGTGTACTTGTTTAAATCTCTGCATATAAGTGAAACAAGTGAGTGTACGATACAATGATGATAACAGTTACGGTATCAGTCTTCCCTTAGCTTTAATATATTAACACGTCTTGCAGTTTCTGGGTCCTTCTTAAACATCCGCATGAACCCCAGTGCTGGACAGATTGTAGCAACAGTTGTCATGTTCGAGAGGAAGGAGAAAGGATTCTATCGGCAAGAGATCCTCCAGCGTCACTCAGTCTGGCTCACAAATTCCAGGCCATTCCGTCCTTGTTGAGATATATGGTCCCTCTTACTGTGGTGTATATCGCTGAATATGTTATTAATCAAGGTTTGGTGAGTAAGTCTGTTGCAGTTCTTTACCTTACACTGATAAAGTATCGATGAGATAAATAATGATTTATCTCATACACTGTCAAGCTCTCCATGTGTTGTATACAGTACTATGCTGTATCTGACATGTAAAAAGTTAGCTTCTCTTTCCTTAGTATTAAAGACAATACACATAATTCAAACATTTATCCAGTTGCCACCAAAATCTGTAGGGCAGTTTATATAATTATTTTGAGACACCTTGTAGATAAGTAGATGGTTCAAAAGCACATGATGATGTGAGTTACAGCTCCCCTTACAAGCTTCAGATCATTTCATACCTTATATAAAGGTCTGGTAATTTGCCACTTTAGATTCTGTAGAGATCGTTGTTTACAATTTCAGTTAGAACTGATCTACTTCCCACAAGAGAAGATGTGGCTGAACCATCACGAGCAGTATCGGTGGTATCAGGTCATCTATCAGGTTGGGGTGTTTGTGTCCAGGTCTTCTGTCAACTGTGTCCACATTCACCACATATGGAAGACGTCTGTGTTGCAGGTTACTGTACTATTGTTTTACACGCAGTTTACAGTTTTTACTGTTGCTGAAACAGTTAATGAAGAATGCTGCAGTATCAGGGTGTCTACTGGTCTGGAAAAGCCAGAGAATTTTACAAATAAACCTGGAATTTTATGTGAATTCAGTTCAACTTCAAAATATTGTTACAGTACAGTATTTTGATAGTACTCTTACCTTAAATTAATGATGTACTATATAATAGGTAAATAATTAAACTTTAAGGAGCAAATTTAGGTAAATAGGCCACTCCAGTAACTGAATTGTTTGTGTACCCATCATATTTCATGTTAGTGATCAAATAACCAAATGTTACAGGTTTTACCTACAACCTTCTCACCTGGTTCTCACCGAGTGAGAAGGTTGGGTCACCTTACCCTCTGACCTGACTACCGACTTTGCGGTGCTATTTAAAGATTAGTAGGGTCATTACCTAATACCTGACCATTGTGGACCTGGTCTCACCCTCCTCTGTATATATACACCTTGTTTTGTACTTCTCTTTAGTCTGTACTCACCCCTGAAGATGTGAATTACACGAAAGCGCTTGGGAACTTCGTGTTTTCTTCTTTTCTTGTGGTTATCGGCATATATATATACTATATATATATTATTGAAGACCTCTAATTTTGTTATTGTCGTAATAAATACCGAATTTATGTACCTGGAGCTTATCAAATTTTCACCTGGAAAAGCCAAGGAATTTTGTTTTGTCTGGCCAGTAGACACCCTGAGTATATAGCATCTATGTTTATTACAGTAAAATACCCAGATTTGTAGTACCATGAAACAGATTTTTTTAGTGTAATTTTGTAATAATTTGCAGAACAGTACAGTGCAGTAGAGTACAGTACAGTACAGTACAGTATATGATGACTGTATAATATAGTAGGGGGGATATTGCTGGATTACCTAGAATTATTTATCATTGGATAGAAATATGATACAGTAATACCTAAAGCAGCACAGAGATGTAGTAACCCGGGGCATATGCAAGAATTTATGTACAGTATTCTAACGCTTTAACACTTAACCTGTGGCTAAGGATTCTACACTAATCATCCTATAAGCACAAAAATGGAATGCAGGCAACATGAAACTTTAACAGATGGTGACCACTGTCCCTACAGCTAATATCCACAAATGATGGCCACTGTTACAGTACTGTACATAGATAGTTTCATGCAATATTTAAATTTCAGTGGATCAACGTTGTTCTCCTGCTGACTTGTGCCATCTTCTGGTGGATCAGGAGCATCTGGCTGGTGTTTGTGCTGGTGCTGTGGGAAGGTCTTCTGGGAGGAGCGGCTTATGTCAACACTTTCTATAAAATCTCACAAGAGGTAGTTTGACCTTTACAGTGTTACCTATTATTTATTTACCTTTTCACCCAATTATCAGCTTACTATAGTATTTCCATGCTAAACTGGCCTGTAAGCCCCGCCCCTCGTCTATAGCTACGAGCAGCTGATTGGTTCCTCTGAGTGTTTTACCTCCCCTGGGACTGCGCACATATAAGCGAGTGTTTATATCGACCTTTTATAATAAATATTTAAAATGTTCTATCATTCTCTCTGAAGTGCTAATGCTTTGAAATGATTTGTATTTTGATAAATTGTAATCCATATTTTTTACATTATTTTAGATAACAGTTCTGCTTACCAATTGTGAACACATTCAGTTTTAATTTTCTATGAACCAATTAGCTATTAGTATAGAAGAAGGGTGGGGCCTCCAGGTCAGGTTAGTGTGGAAAGGGTATAGGTGTTCAGACAGTTGGTCTGTTCTTTGTTACTTTCTTATGATCTTATTGTCCAGTGTTAGTACAGTACAGGAAAAAACTAGTACTGTACAGTACCTAAAGAAAACCTACCATGTGTGGTAGTGAGGGCCATCCTCTATGGTCCAGTGTTAGTACATGTTAGGGTTATAATATGTTAGATTTTACATTAGTTTGTGAATTTTTTTCTTCATAGTTCTGAGGCAATTGTAAGAAGAGACACATCTTTCTTATTATAGTATAACAGTAAATTTGTCTGTTACAATATTTGGCTTTTAATATAGCATTAACTTGATGGTGAAATATTATTTGGAAGTCCTACTTTTAATGCCCAGTTCTCACTGTAAACGTGGGTTGGTGATAGGAGTTACCTGTACAGTATATTAGTGTGGTGTAAGGCAAATTGGGTCTCTCTCCTACCCTACAGTATATACTTTAATGTTTTATTTACTTTTGAACACTTCTCCTGTTCTTGCCAGTACTCTGTTGATTGTATCACTATTATCAGTTCTTTTCCTTTCATACTTTTATGACCAAATTGAGTCATCTAACCTGCCATACTAGGGGGCCCCTTCGTGTGTGGAGATGGTATTACATGTTACATCAGTTTCTTGTTGAGGAAAGGCTTGTACAGTACCCAGTTAATGCCAATGTGTTGTACTTATTGAGTGTTTATTTCTTACAGCAGGTTGATGATGCCCATAAAGAGTTTGCCATGGGGATGACCACATTTGGAGACTCCATGGGGGTGACCATCGCTGGGTTTATTGCTATCCCACTTCACAACGTCATCTGTAGTCTGCCTCTGTCACGTTCACACAAGTGATCGCGTGGTGTTTATTTCAAGAATCTAATGGTCAGAGTACACCGCTGTGATTTATAGAAAAGAAATACTGTGATGTGATTCCTTATAAATGTGATAATCAGTGTTCATGTCTTATTTGAATTGGAAAATTTAACACAATTTGATGTTTTTTTTTGGGGGGGGGCAATGAAGGTTATTGTCAGATTTTTTACTGTGCACAATGTAGACTTTTAATAATTATCTAAGGATACTTGTTGGATGTATAATTAGTTTTTGTAATTAAATTAAATCAGTTAGTGTATAATCAAAAGTGTCAATAATCTGAAATTACAGTTAGTTAGTGCTGCTGTGAACAGGTACACACATAGTATACATTATACATCATGAAATATATACTGTATAATACAGATCCTAGAATATTGCATTGGGATTTGCATTATATAGTACAGTATATGTTGAAGGAATGCATAATACATGTACTATTCATAGAATATATTTTGTTTAACTATACAGTACTGTAGGATCAAGTCATTCAAGTTCACACAAGATTACCCTGGTACAGTACTTAATCTGTCATCAGAATTGACATACATACTGTACTGTGTTCTCATGAACTAATAAAATGTGAACAAATTACTGTATTAAGAGTTATGTGTTCAGGAGATGTATAAACCCTTGCTGTGGTCATATGAGAATCTGCACTTAAAACCCTTACCTAGTGCTGACGATGTAATCTTAATTGGCAACATTGGAAACAAGTGCTTCTCGTGCATAAGTTTTGGTAATAGTGTTGTAGTGAGTTATATGTGCACTATTATGTCAACACAGAAAATAGTCTTTATAGTATAAACTTAAGGGTTATATTCATTGTTGCAGTATAGTACAAGAAACGAGTATTGACATATAAGATCTGAAGCTGTGTGTTTTAGTTCTCACATTCCTTATTAGGTATTACTGTACTTATTATCAGGGCTTGGTTATACAGGTTGTACCTCTCTAGTCCGGCATTCTGTGGTCCGGAACGATTTTAGTTTGTCCAATAGGTAGATAGGCAGCTTTTTTTTTCTTTTTTTTTCACTTATCTGAATTATTATTATTATTACAGGAGTATTAAATTTTTGCCCCTCAGGCCCCAATGTGGGTCAGTGACCTATGCCCGGGTGGGCTAATCCCCGTAAAAAAAAAACCGCCGCGGGAAATTAAGGTTTGTTTACATCCGGCAGTTCGGCTGCTCTCTCTCTCTTTCTCTCTCTGCTTGTCTATACAGAGTACAACGTTTAACCCTTCAATATATATGAGCAGTAAATAAGTGTTGCTTTCATATTCTTATGTAGAGTAATGACGATATGTTTTCACATGTGCGCACTTACATACGCGCAGTCTCACTTTTTTTTTTACCATTAATGGTTAGCTACTTATATTGTTCCATTTATTAACATTAAATAACATTACAGGTACTTCAAACAACCATATTAATTTTTTTTACATTAATTTTACTACAGCTACAATCAGGGTCTTATTTTCTTCAGTTTTATATGTAGAACCAATCAGTCACTGGTTTTGTAAGCTTTAACATGAACAATGCCGGCAGCCGTCTCGTCTCCTCATGTGTTTTAATCCAGGTATTTTTAATAAATTGTATTGTTAATTTTGCACACACAAACATTAATTCAATAAAATCAAATTCAGAAACATTAATTAAAATATATGTGAACAGTAAATAAATGTTGCTTTCATACTCTTATGTAAAGTAATGACGATATGTTTTCACGTGTGTGCACTTACATACGCGATCTCTCTTTTTTCTTTACCATTATCGTTAGCTACTTCTTTTGTTCCATTTATTAACATTAAATAACATTACTTAAAACAACCATATTAATTTTACTACAGCTGCAACCAAGGTCTTATTTTCTTCAGTTTTATATGTAGAACCAGTCAGTCACTGGTTTTGTAATCAACGAAAACAATGCTGTGTCATTTCCTCGTGTGTTTTAATATTCTACGTATTATTAATGAATTGTATTGCTCATTTTGCACACATAAACATTAATTCATTAAAAAAGACATTCAGTAATAAACAATAATGAATCTTTTGTACATAAGAGAAATGATGCTATTTACACGATTATGCACGTCGTCTGCACGTTGGCGGGCCGTTCAAACCCGTCGAAATTCAAGTTTCCGCCGTCAAATTTTTTTTTTTGTGTTCCAATAAAATACGTTGAATTAAAAACTCGCAAACTTTGAGAAGCTACTATACGACATTTAACCCTTCAATATGTCTTCAAAAGAGACCATGATGCAGAGAAAGTGGTGCTAGTGCTTCAAGCATAAGCACAAGTCCCTATCTATCCAGGAAAAGGGTGAATTTCCATGGTCCGGCACCGGTCAGGTCCCGAGGTTGCCGGACTAGAGAGGTACAACCTGTACAGTATTACTTTTTAGTTTAATTTAAAATCTAGTCTTATGTACTGCTTTTGGTTTACATAACATTACAGTATTTATGTAATGGGGTGTTTTGTAAAATATTGTGCTGAATTTTATGTTATGTTTATTATGCTATCATTTTTGTTTTCTCTGTAAATTAAATTTGGAAAAAAAAAATCTCATTTATTCTGTCTTCATTATTATTTCTGGCAGCATGTTTATTCCAATACTGTGCCTTTGACAGGAAACACATGATGTGACAAAGAGATGTTTATCTCTAAAAAAAAATTGAGTTGATTTCAAAACAAGGTAAACTTAAGTATAGTAAACCTCGAAACAGCGGAGTTTTGGCTTTAACGGACCGGCCTTCTCCCCAACTAGTCTGTTATATCGAGGGTTTACTGTATATGCCAATTTTATCCACCTGTTACAACATCTGAGATGTAAAGTGATGAAGAAATGTTAATTCGTTTTATGTTGCAACATAAACAGACTTACCAAAGGAAGCATGTTACAATGGCTGGTTGAACAACTCTCTCACTACACCTGGTGAAGGTTGCTGGACCACCCATAATTGTTGGGAGGTGCAGTCGTCCTCTCACCGGAAGCCGCTCTGTTGGATATTTCTATTTCAAAGATTCACTTTCCTTCACTGATCAATGTACAGTACTTATCAAGGACCCAGGGGCAGAAACTTTACTCTCCATTTACTGTACATTAATCTGAAGTAAGTAATACCACTTTTCACTTTCAGTTATTGGCTTTCCATAACTTTCAGGGAATTTTTGTTTTATTTAATTCACAATTCTCCATAATAACTATTGAACATCCTAAGTGAGGATGTAGTGGTACTTGGTTTTTATTTAAGTAATTTGTGTTGTTAATGGCAAATGTAGAATGAGTGAAATTACTTATGATTAATCATTCACTGTTGACAGCCATACAGTTGTTTCCATCCTAACTCGTGTGTGTGTTTTGTATATTAAATGTTGGCAAGAGTAGAGTGCAATTATAAGTAAACTTTCAGCTGCCTCTTAGTGCTCAAAACAAATTATATTTTATGAACAAAAATATTTTCTAAACTTTTTGTTTATAATTTGTTTTATTTTTGTGATAGAGGTAATGAAATATATTGTATATAATCTACATTTGAGGTTAATTAACTGTTCAAATAAAAGGTTGTGATTCAAACAATTTTTTTTTCATGTAATGAAAAGACACTCCTCAAATATTTTGTCTATAACTTGACAATATTATTCAGTAAGTTACCATCTTTCTAGGTATTTGTTTACATCCTTTCACTTTTACTGCTGTAATGTCCCAATCTTAGTGCCACCCTTAAGGACCAGTCTTAGTGCCACCCTTATGAACCAGTCTTAGTGCCACCCTTAAGGACCAGTCTTAGTGCCACCCTTAAGGACCAGTCTTAGTGCCACCCTTATGGACCAATCTTAGTGCCACCCTCATGAACCAATCTTAGTGCCACCCTTATGGACCAATCTTAGTGCCACCCTTATGGACCAATCTTAGTGCCACCCTTATGAACCAATCTTAGTGCCACCCTTATGAACCAATCTTAGTGCCACCAGTCTTATGCCAACCCTTAGACCAGTCTTAGGTGCCACCCTTTATGAACCAATCTTAGTGCCACCCTTATGGACCAATCTTTAGTGCCACCCTCATGAACCAAGTCTTAGTGCTACCCTATATGGACCAATCTTAGTGCCACTTGAACCAATCTGGTGCCACCATGAACCAATCTTAGTGCCACCCTTATGGACTAATCTTAGCACCCTATGGACCAATCTTAGTGCCACTTATGAACCAATCTTAGTGCCACCTCATGAATCAATGTGTGCCAATTTCTTGCCACCCTTAGACCAATCTTAGTGCCAGCCTCTGAACCAATCTATGCTAGCCTTATGAACCAATCTTAGTGCCACCCTCATGAACCAATCTTAGTGCCACCCCTGTGAACCAGTCTTAGTGCCACCCTCATGAACCAATCTTAGTGCCACCCTCATGAACCAATCTTAGTGCCACCATGAACCAGTCTTAGTGCCACCCTTATGAACCAATGCCACCCTCATGAACCAATCTTAGTGCCACCCTCATAAACCAATCTTAGTGCCACCCTCATGAACCAATCTTAGTGCCACCCTTATGAACCAATCTTAGTGCCACCCTCATGAACCAATCTTAGTGCCACCCTCATGAACCAATCTTAGTGCCACCCTCATGAACCAATCTTAGTGCCACCCTCATAAACCAATCTTAGCGCCAGCCTTATGGACCAATACCCAGCCCTGTGTGTTTAACTACTACTGTATACAATTACAGTACTGTATTTTAATTGCTGTACAGAAAAACTCCGGAAACATAAGTCAGGTACAGTATAATAAAAATATAAAAATCATATAATATACAGTATATAAAAAATTTATTATGGGCACTCATAATCAACATACAAAACCCTAATAATCTTTTGTAAATATATTTTGGACAACACTAATATAATGTGTCATAATACATATAATACATTAAATATTAAAAAAAAATGTTTGTATAGAAGGAAACTATAGAATGATAATGGTACCAACCTTCTCATATCCGTGTGGCTGCCGGGGACTGAACCCAGGACATATAGAGTAATTCACGTTCATATTTATCTTTATATACATTGATTTATATATATTAATTATAACATTATTTTTAATTAAGTATAAATATATATACGTTGGTTATATCCCATTATGTATTTGTTTCCTATATCTAAATATTTTACTGAGGTTTAGTGTACTGAAGCCGAGGTGATGGAGGTGACAGAGGTGAAGTCTTCCTCCTCCAGGTAAAATTGTGTTAAGTTTCCCAGAAGTAGATGATAATAGTTGATTCTAACATAAATAACTAGATAAAGGTGTAGACATTGACGGTAATAACATCAAGATTGAATAGAAATATACTGTTAGTGTTGTTCAGTAGCAGTTTGATGATGATAAGTGTAGTAATTATAACTGATTTAAGGATAATATGAGAAAGATTAAGATTCATCACTTTAATATTTAACTTGTGTAAGAGAGAGGAAAGTTATGGTCACCAGCTGCTGTAATTTATAATTTATTTCAATATTTCACTATGTCTCTTCTCTTCTTTGTTACTTTCTCATAAATCTTATTGACAAGAAATATAAACTTTGTATATTTTGTCAGTAAGGGTGTAGATAACGGCTACCACCACAAGTTGTTTGTTAATTTAGATAAACATTTTTTGTGACTTTATGACACCAAATAATAATCGAGAAGTGATTCAGTCCCGATTTATTCATGTAGGACCATTATTTGACTTCATTGCGGCTGCATTTGGGTAATTAGTCGGACCGCCTAAATTATCATGATATTAAACATAGATATGGAAACGTCAATGCATAGCTGACCTAACATATGCATAGGTTGGGTATGTTAGGTCAGGTTTTATTAGGTTCTATGCATTATCGTGTTAATTTATGTGTTAAACAACTTACCTTAATATTGAGGTTGATATGCAACAGCAATGGCGAGGAGGAATTCGTGGAAGCGTTCACCATTATAGAGTAAATAAAATAAAAATACTTAAAAACATGATACAAAGTTGTCATTTCTTTTAAAGTACTTAAAAACATGAAAACAGTTAGTACAGCAGAAATAAAGAAAATCAACAAACAACTTCTGGTGTTAGCGCTATTCTACACCTTTACCATTTTGTCCTCTAAGTTTTTATAGTGTACACTAATAACCTAACCTGGTACAGTATGGGTACAGTAATATTCTACAACAGTGATCATGGTTAATTATTAGTAGTCTAACAAAAATCACCTGTTGAAGGAAATTGTTTATTCTTGAGGTAATGAATTTCTTGTAGAGTTTTCATTAGTTGTCTGACCTGGACCACTGTCGACGGCATACTAATTAACTAATCGAACCTAATGTATTAAATATATAAAATGACATTGTGGACGTGATAAAAAAGATGCTTTGCTTTCACTGGGAATTTGGTCAATTTGTATGATAACCTCTTTAGTACTGTACTGTATTAATATTTTATTAGCTGTGGTTATTTTTCCGGTTGTCACTTAAACAGGTATTTAGACTAACACCAAAAGGAGATGATAGAATTGGATGAAACTGTGGAAACTTTAATTACCATCTATTAAACGGATAAATGGAAACGAGAATGCACAAAGCCCATTAGAACATGACCTAACTAACCTATCATAAGGTAACCTACCTAAACCTATCTAACTTACCCCAGAAAATCATTTAAAACATACCTAATGACACTAAATGTATTCTTGTTTCCATTTATCTATTTAATTGGTTGTAGTTAAAGTTTCCACAAAGTTTCATCCAATTCTATCAACTCCTTCTGGTGTTAGTCTAAAAAGAATTACCTAACTGACAACCGGACAAATATCCATAGCATATTTTATTTGGTTAACGTACGACAATTTTATTCAGCACAGAGGAACTCCCATCTGCAAGGGTTAGGTTTTTGTTAGCTTAGACTCTGAATCAGTATTTTTAATTAATGTACATAACATCAGGTAAACTGGGGCCTGGATGAAGGTTTATGTTCACAAAATTTTTTACAGTATATTAAGTTCTTGCCAATTTGTGTTACATTGTGCTTTGTAGTCAAGAACATTATCTTTTATATTTATTACTTACTATGTTAAGCTACATACTTGTAAGTTAACAAACCGTTTTCTTTAGAATTTAGCTATTAATTTTACTGTACATCTATATTATGTGCTGGAACCTTTTTCCTTTCAAGAACACTTTATATCATTCTTTTTGCCAGGTGGTCATGTTCACTCACTTCAAAACGTTTCTTGAGGAAGGGGTCTGATGAATTTCAAAATGAACGCCGTCATTCCTGTTGTCTTGGTCGGGTTGTCAAAATCCTTCATCCATCATGTCAAATTGTCTAACACAAAATTATAAAGATACTTTTTGGAGAGTGTACAGTACAGTACATCATGTGTTGTGTTGTTAGAAAGATTTACATACTTGGTGGGGGTTTTTTCTTCAGAAATATGAACTCATTACTATTTGTGTGTAGAAGCACTATACAGTGATCCCTCGGTTAACGAGTGCCTCGGTTAACGAATTACCTTCTATAAGATTCTTAACTTCGGTTAACGAGCATTCCCTCGATTAACGAATTCCTTACGAGCGCCCCTCAACATGTTTTCGCTTGCATTTGGCGGTCCACCAACTGTAGTATTAGTCCACCAATACAGTAATTGGTTCTAGGGCTTAAATTCCTTACCATTTTAGTAAATATCAAGAAGTTTGTACAATTCAATAATTTTAAAAGTTTTATATTTAATTTTTTAGTCATTTTAACAATTATTGAACATAATTGAAGTATAGGAAGCTAGTTTTTTTGCGCGCCAAACAGCCTGTCAACACACCATACAGGCGTCAGTCTCTGTATCTTTTCAGTGGAGGTAGCATCTTGCTTGAGACTCTTCAACATAAACGCTTTTTTTCTGTGTTTCCAAGGAAATTATTGGTCAATTTGAAATTTATTTTACATATTGACAATATATATAATGCAGTGCAGTGTTGATTTAAAGAAAATAATCTTGAATTACACCATGGGGTGACTTCTCTTCCATTCCAATGCCTTCTCTTCTCCCTTCTCCTCCACCCCCATTCTAATTCCCATCATCATCATCCTCATCCAGGAGCCTTCTACATACACACCTCAAAGTAAGTGTGCTTTACTACCTTTTTTATTGACTTTAGGCAATTTTCGGTGAGCTGGAACCAATTAACCAAAAACCCATTGAAACAATGGTTTCAGTTAACGAATTTTTCGGTTAACGAGCAACCTTCTGGAACGAATTGTGCTCGTTAACCGAGGGACCACTGTACGTACAGTACTATGTACTTGAATAAATACTCTGTACTGTACCATATTGTCTTGAGTTGGATATAATTCAGTCTATTAATTTATATCTATTCATTTGGTTGAATATGTGATTCATTTTGGTTTAAATATTTAGGGATGATTCAATTCTTGATTTGACTCCAAAATATTTTGTGGTTGGTAAGGCCCTCGTGAGCTGTTGAACCACTAACATGGCGTCATCATTGGGTGACACAGAGGAGCGTCTTACAGGAAGAAACAAAATACAAAAGCTTTTATTCCTCCTCTCAAGTTGACTTATTCTTGAGGTAAGAAATGTGTTGTGTACAGTATTACCAGCCTTAAATGTTTAACACTGCAGTGATGAGTCTGACCCATCCATCACTACTGAGGCTGCTGTACTGATCACCTTATTGAGTTCAGGTCAGGTCTCCATTTTGAACTGAAATCATAGGTTTTTAATATGGTTTTGGTTTTATCCTCACCACTGATCGGCTCTTTAGATGCTTGGGCGATCGGTCACTTCTTTTGTTACACACTGTTGGCAAGTACTGGGCATGAACTGGCTCCTGAATGTATCTGAACCTGCTCCAGTGTTGGTCAAGTCTTGTCTTGAAAGAGCTCACACTCAGTGCCGTCACAACACTCTCTGGCAGATTGTTCCAAGAGTTCACAACTCTCACTCCGAAAAAAGTTACCACTCACAGTTTTCTGGACCTGGGGCTTCTTCAACCTTGAGCTGTAGCCCCTTGTGGGGCGAGCGTCCGCCAGCTCCAGGTAGGGAAACTCGACTGAGTAGTGCCCCTTGAGATGCTTATATACCTCAATTAGGTCGCCCCTTGCCCGTCTGTAGTATAAGCTAGGCAAGTTCAGGCGCTACAATCTCCCAGGGTAGTTGAGGTGCCAAAGTGCAGGCACCAGTCTGGTGGCCCTCCTTTGAACATTTTCAATCAACTGACAGTCCCTAGTATATCTCGGGGACCAGACGGGGTAACAGTACTCCTGATAAGGAAGCACTTCACTCTTGAAGATCATTAAGACGGACGGGCCGTCTAGATATCTGAACGACCTTCTTATAAGACCTAATATTTTAGTTGCCTGATTTACCTTCTTTTCGCAATGACCTGAGAACTTCAGCTCATTGTCCACATACACACCTAGGTCCTTCTCACATTCATTCTCAAATAGTGCAGTTTCTTCATCCCGTTGGGACATATGATACGCCTCCTTACCGTTGGTACGCCCCAGGTGCATCCTCTTACACTTTGTGACATTGAATCTCAGTAGCCATTTCTTCGACCATTCATGGAGCCCACAGAGGTCCTTCTGCAGCTCTTCACAGTCCACTTGGTTCTTGATTTCCTGAAATAACTTGGCGTCATCGTCAAACATTTGTGTTCAACATCAGGCATGTCATTTATGAAACAAACAAACAACAGCGGGCCCAATACACTGCCCTGTGCTAACCCGCTTGTGACAGGTACAGATGATGATTTCGTGCCATTAATCACCACACACACTGCTTACAGTTATGTAGAAAGTCTTCTATCCACGCTAGGACATTTCCCCGAATTCCGTACCCTTCCAGTTTGATTTTCAGCCTTTCATGGGGTACACTGTTGAAAGCCTTGGCAAAATCTAGGTAAATACTGTCGATATTACCACCCTGTTCCAGAATATGGGTCCAAATATCCAATACCTTGAGCAATTGTGTTAAGCAGGAGCACACCGGCATAAAACCATGTTGGCAATCCTTTACAAGGCTGTTTCATAGTAGATGTTCCATCGAAGCATCTCTGATAATACTCTCAAGTACCTTACATATTATGCTGGTCAGGCTCAACGGTCTATAGTTGTTTGTGGAGTGCCGATCGCCCTTCTTGAAGATAGGACTCACATAAGCCATTTTCCAATCACTGGGGGCCTTTTGTTCCAACAGGCATTTACAGAACAGGATCTTCAGGGGCTCGGCAAGCTTGTTGCACAACTCTCTTAGCACTCTGGGATGCACCATATCAGGGCCGGGACTCTTATGGACCTTTTTAGCTTTGACATTTTATTTCTTATAATCACTTCTGTGAACACAATGTGGGTCAGTGCTGTGTCGAACCGTCTGTACTCAAACGCAGGAAGGTTAATCGCATCCTCTCTTGTGAACACCGAGGAAAAGAAGCAGCTCAATGCCTTGGCTTTATCTTGGTCAGAATCTGCATAACTACCATCCACAAGCCTCAGGTCTGATACTCTTCGCGTTTTCAATTTCGACTTTGCATAGCGGTAAAACGCCTTTGGGTTTGACTTGACCTCGCTTGCAACCAGCCTCTGGAACTTCTTTTCAGCCCTTCTACACTCTGACTTTGCTTGGTTCCTGACTCTTGCATACATACTCTTGTCCTGCTCATTGTTTGACCTAACCCACATCTTGAATTTCTGGGTTTTCTTCTTAACTTTGTCGACCGCCGCATGGTTCATGTGTAGGGGTCCCCTCGTATTCCTAGAGGCACTGGGTTTGGTCCTGGGTATATATTTTATCGATCAAATGGGTCACTTTACTAGTTATGATATTCAGCGTAGTGTCCGCCTTCTTGTGCCTTAGTGAGTCAGGCCAGTTGATACCACTCATCTCCTCCCTCATCCCGTTGTAATTTCCCTTGTAATATTTGCACCTTGGCCTGGCATTATCATGAACTAGGCAACAGTTAAATCTGAATGACAACACTACATGGTGACTGGTGCCAACTGGGGCAAGGTGTTCGTTTGGCCACCATACCCTCCTCGTTTGTTATGATGAGGCCTAGTGGCTTGGGTGTTTGCTCCCCTCTGTATTGTGCCGGGTCTTTAACATGTTGGAACATAAATTTATCTCTCGGAGTTTCTACAAAAAGAGTAGCAGGGTTATTCAAGTCATTTGGCGTGAACTCGTTTCTCCAGTCGATGTAGCCATTGTTAAAGTCCCCCATGATAAGGAGGTGGCTAGGGTTGAGCATCTCTGCATTGTCTTTTAAGGCTCTTAAGTTCCTTTGATTTAGTAACGGTAACTGTCCAGCTTAGAACAAAATCTACTTTTTCCCATAAATTACCAAACTCATTAATTTTTGGCATATGGTATATGTTTCGTTAGGATAATTAATTAAGGTCCCTGGAGTGAAACCCCAAGACTGTTGTTTTTGTTGGCAGCTGTAGAGACCTGTCATTAATCTTTCCTCACAATTGTCTAGATCATTTTATTTCACTCTTTGGAAAAATACGAATAATGGCATTTTTAGATGAACATGATGCAGGTCAGTTCATAAGTGAAGTAGATATGAACTAAACTATTTTGCAAATTGTATTAAAATATTGCTTATGGACTTATGATCTTCACAGCCAGAGTGCCCCATTATAAAGTACCCTCTGTCATTGTTTTTCTCTATTAGTCAGTGCTCCCAATGTATTTTTCCCTCCCATTTGATCATTCAGTTGTCACACATCTTGTAACCAGATTACTTCATATTCTAATTTTATTTTATTTTCCAGAATGCCAGGAGAAGAAAAACTTGCAGGGAGAACAAAATTAGTGGCCAGAGACGGTTGTGTTGTGGTTGTTGGTGATGCTAACGGAGGAACACCTAGTGATCGTGGACAGTCATTCTCAAAGCTGAAAGAATCTTCAAATGCCTTTAAACTGTCACATCATGGAGGAAGACTGAGGACGATTTTGTCATCGACCACTGCTTTACTAAGTGACCAACAGAACTCAGTAATTCTAAGCCCTAAAAGTACAGAAAATAAGACAGAAGGAACACATGAGGATAAAATGCATTTACCTGGAGATGGTTCTGACTCAGGTGAGATTCTCTTTATGGGAGTTACAAAGAAACTTTCTTTCCTTTTTAACCCAGTACAACAGCAGATCAAGAAGGCCTTGTGTAAAATACTTGGAGTTACTTGTGAAGGAAATAAATTAGAGAAGCATGTAGTACCTTGTGAGTTAGGCATTCCAAAAAAAATCAAGCCTATTGGGGAAAAGGGGGACTGTTTCTTTAGAGCCGTGTCTTATGTTGTTTCTGGAACAGAAGAAAATCAATCGATCGTACGAGCTGCTGTTGTGAGATTTATGCACACAAACCAAAAACTCGTTCAGCCAATGCTGAGACCCAACTACAATTCAGTTGAAGAATACTTAGAGCTGTCATGTATGGGTACAGATGGCACCTGGGCTACTGAGGTAGAAATATTTGCAACTGCTCTTCTCTTACACACAGATATTTTTACATTTAGATCAGAGAAATGGCTTAAATTTAGTGGTGACCAAAGAAGGCAAAACAAGGAAGCAATATATTTAGTGAACTTTAAAGATGCTCATTTTGAAGTTGTTATAAGTGTTTCTGGAAAAAATCATGATTTTATTGTAAAAGATGTCCAGAAGTTAACAAAAGAGTTAAACAGTGTACGTGAGCAGTTTGGAGAGGGAGCTTCACCTCTCCTTGAGAAGTATCTTAAAGATCAGCAAGAAAGAAACATAGAAAGTAAGACTTGTAAAAGAGACTTGGTGAAAGATAAGAGCCCTACTAAGAGGGAACATATTTGGAGGGACAAATACAAGAGAAGACATCTGGAAAGTACAATAAGAGTAGAAGAAATGAGAGAAAAACAGAGAAGGAAAACAGAGAGAGAGAGGGGAGGAGAGTGGAGGTATCACCATAAAAGTAAAAGAAAGTTGTAAAGTAGCAAAAGAGATGACAGTGAAAAGAACCAGAATACATCATTCAGTTTTAAAAGGAAGTATTATTAGTTAAGTCAGAATAAGATGAAAGTTTGTTATGTTGTGTCTTAAGGGTAATGGTTGAACCGCTGTTAGTTATAAGAGACTAAAGATGGACCAACCTGCATTAGAGTCGAACTTCCCACCATCAAAATGTTTTAATTGCTATTACCACCCCCAAGTTGGTCCAATTTCTAATAATGTTTTTCGAGAAGAATTTCTAGGCAGATATTAAGTACATGGCCTCACCTTCATATATTGTACTAACATTAATTAACAGGTAAGGTCAGTCCCTACAAGGATTTGATTGCTTATCTTGAAGATATAATGATTTATATTTTTCAGTAAAGGAAAATTGATACAGTAAACCTTTATCATTATGTAATACTGTATGTTTAATTTTACACAATTCTCATCAACAAATTTGGTTGGGTTAATGTTTAAGAAACTTATGGTTGTACACCACCTGAATACTGTACTGTACACCTTTCAGGTGGTTGGGGTAAGTAAAGCCTTCTATCTCGGTAGAGTACAATACTGTAGTACCGGGTAAAGAAAGTATTAAGTAGTTGTTGTTAACCCTTAGGCCCCGGGTGACGTTCCAGATTGTCTGCCTATTTTCCCACTAATTTTTTGTTATTTTTATTTATTTAATTTTTTCGGAAAAGTGTTTTTTTTTCTATTTATCCCCGCTGTGGGGGGGAGGGGGTGGATACTGCCAGCATCACCCTAGCCTAGCCTGGGGCTTAAGGGTTAATTGTTATGTACTGAACAGTAGGGTGTGACCGTTGCCCTCCAAAAATAAAAAAAAATGGTCCTACAATGCTGTTCAAAGTTTTAGTGTTGTGTATTTATCTAGGAACACCCCTGTAACTTTTCTTGGAGATCGGTGCATGTTTGAGCTAGCACCGTCGGCTTTACAAAATAACAAGGAATTTTATTATCTAATGAACAAATTTAGTGGAATTTCTTTTATTAGACTTATAAGATATGCTAACACCAAGCAATATTATAGATTACTACGAAATACAATAATCTCAATAATTGCAGTTCTAGGTTCAAGACCCATCTCTCTCAACTGGCGTACAATAAAAAAAAGAAATACTACTACCCCGCAATGCCTGGAGTGTTTGAGGAGCGCCAGCAGGAGATGGCTGACTTCTTCCATGAGTCTCTAGCCCAACCATTTACACGTGGCGACTACAAGGAGCTGGTAGAGCTTTGTCTGCTGCCTGTAGCTAAAGGATCCGAGCCAGTGAACTTCACGATGGTCTACCCCGGCGCACTTCATAAAGCAAGGTGGATGGCTAAACTGCTCTATACCCTCAAGATTGTTCTTTTGTCAGGCCAGATCAAAGAGCAGTTTCCCAAAGCCGAGGTTGTGACTAAAAGTCAAATCAGCAAGTTAGAACGGTTTGCTGTGTTCACAGTTGCTGTTTATGTCCCATGGTGGATTGTTTGCCCCGTTCCAGCAAGTGCGCCACTGAATGACTTGAATTTGGTCAAAACCTTGGCTGAATTTGCCCCATATGACGCCACAATAGTTGACAAAGCACGTGTGGCACTCGGTAGACACACTTGGTACCTAACTGAGGAGTTGGCCCCACTGGCTTTGTTCTCGTCCCAAGTACAAGAAAGGACAAAAGAAGAGATGACGAAGGCCCTTCTTTGCCATAAAGGCACTGAAGTTACTAAGAGAGTAGGGCTCAATCATGGGGGCTACGGAAAGCCATATCTTCCCCTGTCCCAGAAAGTGGCACTGCCCTGGTGGACCTAATTGGGCCTGACTCAAGCCGGTTCTTCACCATTTTAGGCATGCCCTATCAGTTTCTCCACAGTCCAGCCAGTGAATGGGCGGATCATGACGACTACCTGAACATGAAACGGGTTGTGGACAAGCTTCAGGTCGTCAATGAGGCTGCAGAGCGTGGTGTAAAACTTTGCCATGACTTTCTTAATGTTGCCAGGGATGAGAAGTGCTTTCAAGAAGTCCTTCAAGTAGTTGAAAATGACAGACTCCGCGTTCCTAATCAGCGCAAACGATCATCTGTTTCCGAACAGAAATCATGGTTTCTTGCTCTAGACTCTAGAGCAAGAAACCACGATTCACAAGGTATTATTTCTCTAGAGTCTAGAGAAATAATACCTTGTGAATATATGATAAAACCCCTCAATGTACCATGAGAATAAGAATGATTAACTTTTTTGTGTTAGTGATAACAGCTTTTAATTAAGACAGGCAAATGATTTGTGTTAATATCTCTTATGATGGTTGTGTAATCTCCTATATAGGCGCGTATGCTGTATAAACAAAATCGCTATTTTTCAAATTGCTGGTGCTCACTCAAATATGCATGAATCTTCAAAAAATTGCACGTGGGAATTTTTTATGTCAATATGCAACACCAAAATTTTGAACAGCATTGTAGGACAAAGTTGGGGCAACTGTCACACCCTACTGAACAGGGTTAATTGTTATGTACTGAACAGCTGGGGTCTTGAAACATGTTAACTGGATCATTTCTTACATTGGACAATAATTATTGAATATTTAAAAGATAATCTTAAAATACATTATGTTTTCATTGGATACCATAACTTAATAACCATACAAATTACAGTGTACTAGCTAAAACCTTTTAAAAGATCTTCATTTACTAACAGTAAATAATCAGTCATGGCAAACATAACTGTTGTGTGCAGAATTGAATAGTATGACAATATTTTTTACATAAACTAGTACAGTACAGTATTAGAACAGAAATATAAGCCATAATTCGTATGATCAATATCATAATTTAGAGAAAGGAATAAACTTCTCAAAAGAACACAACACACATAATCACACTGAAGTCTCTAGCAAAACTACATTGTTACCAACCAAGCAATGTACCTGAACAAAGGAAACAAGATAGACTGTAATATAATAATGTGTTTTATCTGCCCAACACTATAGTAAATGTGACTATTTAAATAAGAGATACTTTAATTATCACTGAAAGTAAATCAAATAATGAACTGTATACATAAGAACATAAGAATAGAGGGTAACTGAAGCGGGCCTATTGGCCCATACTGGGCAGTCCCATTTACACCCATCCCCTATCGCTCATATATCCATCCAACCTATGTTTCAAGCTATCCAGCTTATTCAAGTTAATGATGATATTTGGTAACTTGTTCCATTCATCCACTACTCCATTTCCAAACCTTTATTTGCCTATTTTACACCTAATTCTAAATTTGTCTAATTTAAAACCATTGTTGTGAGTTCGCTCCTGATTGGAGTTTGAGTACCTTTGTAATTTCCCCTTTGTTTAGCCCAGACTTCCATTTATACACCTCTATCATGTCTCCCCTCACTCTACGTCTCTCAAGGGAGTGCCTGGGATTAGTCGTGTCATTCTCCTCTGAATTCTTTCTAGGGATTCTATATCCTTTCTGTAATACGGTGACCAGAATTGAACTGCGTGATCCAAGTGAGGTCTCGCAAGCGCAAGATATAGTTTTAGGATGACCTCGCTAGTCTTGTAACTAACAGTCCTTTGTATGAACCTTAGTACTTTATTAGCCTTGTTTCGAGCAAATACACATTGTTTACTTGGCTTAAGATTCCTACTTATCATTACTGTACAGTACTCCTAAATCTTTCTCACATTCGGATTTCTTTTTAACGTCTTTGTTCATCTTGTTTGCATCTCCTATACTAAGTACTGTACTTTACATTTGTCCACATTGAATTTTATCTGCCATTTTTCAGACCATTGCAAAAAAAGTTTTGGATCCTGTAGTCTTGCGGAGTCCTCATCAGATTTAATTACATGCACTATTATAGTGTCATCAGCAAATTTACTTATGTTGCTCTCTACGCTGATATCTATGTCGTTTATGTACAGTGGTCCCTCGGTTAACGAGCACAATCCGTTCTAGAAGGTTGCTCGTTAACCGAAAAACTCGTTAACCGAAGCCATTGCTTCAACGGGTTTTTGGGTAATTGGTTCCAGCTCACCGAAAATTGCCTAAATTCAACAAAAAAGGTAGAAAAGTACACTTACTTTGAGGTGTGTATGTAGAAGGCTCCTGGATGATGATGATGGAAATTGGAATGGGGGTGGAGGAGAAGGGAGAAGAGAAGGCATTGGGGTGGAAGAGAAGTCACCCCATGGTGCCATTTCACCCATAAAATTTTAGTTCTCGGTGTAATTCAAGATTATTTTCTTTAAATCAACACTGCACTGCATTATATATTGTCAATATGTAAAATAAATTTCAAAATGACCAATAATTTGCTTGCAAACACAGAAAAAAGCGTTTAGTTGAAGAGTCTCAAGCAAGATGTTACCTCCACTGAAAAGACAGAGAGACTGACGCCTGTTTGGTGTGTTGACAGGCTGGATGGCGCGCATAAAACTAGTTTCCTTACCTTCAATTATGTTCAATAATTGTTAAAATGACTAAAAAATTTAATATTAAACTTTTAAAATTATTGAATAGTATAAACTTCTTGATATTTACTAAAATGGTAAGGAATATACGCCCTAGAACCTATTACTGTATTGGTGGACTAATACTACAGCTGGTGGACCGCCAAATGCAAGCGAAAACTTGTTGAGCTCGGCTCGTAAGAAACTCGTTAATCGAGGGATTGCTCGTTAACCGAAGTTAAGAATCTTATGGAAGGTAACTCGTTAACCGAAATCTCGTTAACCGAGGCGCTAGTTAACCGAGGGACCACTGTATATTATAAATAATATTGGTCCAAGTACTGAATCTTGGGGTACTCCACTAGTGATGTTACTCCAATCTCTGTTTCTTGTTCTGTAACCACGAACTAATCCATTTTGGAATATCTCCTCCAATGCCATGAGCCTCCACTTTTCTTATTAGTCTTTCGTGGGGACTCTGTCGAAGGCATTGCTAAAGTCAAGATATACCACATCATAATCATGCCCGTCATCCACTGATTCGAAAACAGCTGAAAAGAATGTTAATAGATTAGTTAGACATGAATGCCCGCTTGTGAAGCCATGATGGGAATCATTGATCAACTTGTGCTTCTCCAGGTGAAAGCAGTGTCCATTAAGATGGTTAGATGAAGCTTGTAATAACTCCTGGGTAGAGAACCTTGGAACTGATCTTATGTGTGACAGCTTCACTCTAGAGGGAACACACCTGGTGGAGGTTGCAGTCCAGATTTAGGTGTAGCGGATCATAAATAGTTTGGTTGTCTTTCAAGGCAACTCGACCCACCCAGTTAAAACACCTCTGAAGTGAACCCATACATGTACTGAACTTGAGAACATTACATGAAGTAGTGCAGTATTATGTACAAGCATGTGCACTCTAATATTATGTACACAAATTTGAACCCCAGTACAATATTATGTATAAATATGCACCCCAGTATTATGTACAAATGTGTACACCCTCAGGTTATAAATAAAAACTTATTCTATCAAATAAGTTAAAGTACAGTACTGTATATATATATACACGTATGTCCCCTTGACCTAAGGTAATTAATGCCAGTCTCCTTAAACTGATACACTGGTTGGATTGTTTTTAGGTTGACCCCCCAAAACTTCCTACCTTGAAGTGTGATGTTGACCTCACATGGACCTACGAATGTTTAAAATGTCTGTATAGGTCATCCTGAGACTCACCTTACTGATGGTTAAACAGGTAAAGGCAGAGCTGGTCACAGTTTACCAAGTTGAATGACGAGGATGAAAAATTGTAAAATTCAGAGACATATTTGAAGGAAGAGAAGACCAAAGGGAAATTGGGTCCCGCATTAGTAGTGTGAGAGATGGCCACCCAGGAAGCACTACCTACTTACTGACTTATGGCCAGGTGTGTATTGATTCTGGCCAGGTGTGTGTGTGTGTTGATGCTGGCCAGTGTCTATTGATGCTGGCCAGGTGTGTGTTGATGCTGGCCAGGTGTGTGTTGATGCTGGCCAGTGTCTATTGATGCTGGCCAGGTGTGTGTTGATGCTGGCCAGGTGTGTGTTGATGCTGGCCAGGTGTGTGTTGATGCTGGCCAGGTGTGTGTTGAGGCTGACCAGGTGTGTGCTGATGCCTGTGAGGTGTGTGTTGATGCCGGTCAGATGTGTTGATGCTGGCCAGGCGTGTGTGTATGCTGGCCAGGCGTGTGTGGATGCTGGCCAGGTG